AGTTTTAGGAGTACTTGTTGTAGCTATAGTTAAACTTTGAACGGTTGGACTTAGAAGTGCTCGAAGGGGCTGACTTATAAGCCTTACTCAAAGTGCGTCTAGCCTAATCGGCTGAATTAACCTTCTCCAAAAAGGTGTCTCCAAATTAAGAAGGGGAAGAATCTGAAGTTCCCGAGCAGGTCGCTACATTTTTGAGCGAGGACTTTACTCACAAAATCGGAGTTTAACTGCTGCCAACAACTCTACTAAAAGGTTAGCAGCCATGAGCATCTTATCCTGGCAATCACTATTATCAGTGTTTACGGTATCACGCTTGATCATATTAGCCACTACTGGGTCTAGAATCGGCGCCCGAAGTGCTAATTCAACATTAGGTGGAGTGGGAAAAGTTTTCCTTCCTCTCTTCACCAAGGGTTCGGACCATCCTCTAAACCCGATGCTGTTTGCAAAGCGATAGAATCGTCTTTGGTGTTTTTTGGGATCAGCTTCCTCTACTATGACTCAGTATAGACGTGAAATGTGTGGCAAGGACATGAAACAAGATATGAAACAAGTCTTCAAGACCCATTTCCCCACCGGTTCCTCCAAATACTTATTTGAAGTTATTATCGTAGGGATTATCAAACGACAAGGAGTTACCTTCGTCAGAGTCAGAAAAGGTGATTTTTCCCTCCTCCGAACACTCTTCCACTTCAGAACCTGGATGCTCTCGCCGGAACCGACTACACCGGCTCGGCTGGTCGACGCTACCGCCCCGTCAACGTCCCGAGGTTGACGGGATGAACTGGACGCCTGAGGAAGTCCCAAGCTGGAACTGATCCACTGAAGAAAAGAGGCAGCGTCGAATCCAGGCGGGAAGGGTGTTTCTGATGGAGGTGGGGGTGGAGGAGACTTTTTCCCCACCAAGCTTCGGCATGGTCGGGGAGCCCAACTCCTCCGAGTCCGGAGGAAATTTAGGCCGGGGCGGCGGCAGCTCCGCGCCGTCTCCTTCCTTGACCGATGTTCCCGGTGCCAACGCCGATGGGGCATTTCGCTCCCAAGCGGCGGATGTTCCCGGTGCCAACGCCGATGGGGCATTTCGCTCCCAAGCGGCGGAATGAGGTTGGAGTTCTTCTCTTTTTCCTCCGAACCTCCAGCTGTAGGAGCGGGGACTTTTCGTTCACCCGACTCCTCTTCCTCCTGTCCGGAGGCATGTGCAGGCACGCCTGTATAATTTTTCCACTAGCGTTGGGAAACAGGCCGCTTCTCTTGCCGTTACGACCCGTCTGGTCCTCCGAAAGGCTACCTGAATCGCCCTCGTGGGCAGAAGACTTCGTTTTATCCTTCTTTTTGGGCCTAACGCCGAAAGAAAATAAGGAGTAGGGAAACGAACGTGCACCCCTCTGCGAAGGCACAAGGAAAAGTGGCGGCGAACATAGTCATTACGTCATGATATCCCGTGATGCTTTGCGATTAAAGCTTTGTACACGTGCGCCACCTAGCGATAAGCATAGGAAATACTGCATAAGGTAAACGATATACCCAAATAGGGAGTGTGCAGGTATAATTGTTGACTTATGAATATCAGCCCAGCTGCCTGTACATTTAAGTCATGTGCTTTTGCATTTGAAATGGATAAATAAATCACCTCCTCCTCTGCAGCTGAGTCAGGTGCAGAAGTGTCCAGTGTAGAGATGAGAGCCAGGATCCTGCGCAGGTTTTTCTGCTGGTGGAACAACACGCCCGACGCCTTCAGCAGGCCCAGACGCACCTGCTGTTTCCTCAGTAACGTTCTGTTGATGACATCTGCAACAGGAGGGTCGAAAATACACTGCTGGGTAAAAAATTTATGTGTAGTAACAGGGCAAAGGTCACCATCAGAAGCAGGCACAGAAGAATCTTTTGAGTAACCATTGGTGAGGGCATTCAAACCAACAGTAAACAGCCTTTTTCTTGGTGTATCTTGCTAATTGCTGGCATTTTGCAGCTGGAGGGTTTTCTTTCTTCTTATCTTGTTTTTGGTGTTTTCTGTGCCCAGTAAAAGAACTTCATGTTGATGTTTTCCTTCCTCTCCATGGTGCTGAAACATGTGTTGCTTCATAGGTTTGCTGCACCACACACCTACATAAGGTGTGATTCTAACAAACCTATAAGATATTAAAAAGTTTCATCAGGTTTGTACATCAATTCAACATATAGTTTTAATAGGAACACATTATTGTTTTTTTCACTCTATGAAGGCTGCAGAGAAACTGCCAGAATGTCAGTATAGGTGCAGGTGGAAGTGACAGGATATAGAGATCAGAGGTGGTAGAATTACTCAATTTATCAAGATCTTGGTGTGAAATACAAAAATGGTAGTATTAAAATACACAACTGCACTAAATGTACATCCTTGTCACGTATCAATGAAGGTAAAGAGATACAGAAAAATGTTTAAAACTATGTTGATCATCAGATGACTACAAACACTCCACTGACCTTCTCTGGCCTTGTCTGCTGTCCCAGTTCTAGACTGGCGCCCCCCCTCCCTGTCTGGTTTGAAGCCTGCGGTGGCCAAACTAACCAGGGAGCCCCACGTGTTGAGGATGGCATCAGTCATGGGCAACTTGTCCACAATGAAGCACACTTCAGTCTCCTGAACAAGAAGGACATAAGGAAAAAGCAACAAACTTTCATTTTTGGGAGTGAGGAAATAGGACTGGTGTAATGTGTGCCTTTCCCAAGGACACAACACTGAGGCCTGCCAGGGATTCGAACCCAGAACCTTCAGATTTTAAGTCAACAACCCTAACCACAAGACCACCTTGTTGAAACTCAATATGTTTGCAAAGTAGACATCCATCAATTGTTTTAGCAGCCATAAGCTATCACTAAAGCCTGTAGGATGACAATAATCATTTGAATAATCATTAACTGTATGTGTTACGCTGACAGGCGGTTATACCGGCTATACAGATACAGATTCTAAGCTTTAATAGTTTATCAGCAAAATTTGCACCTCAAAATACAGGAAATAAGTGTTTCAGAGGGTAAAGATTTCAAATTTATCCCTGAGGGCACCTCTGGTACCATGCCGCGTATCTACAACCCTCAACATGATTTTTTTCTTCAAAATTTCAGGCTTGCTAGATCATTAAGTTACCTGATTGAAACACTTATATGTAGGTATGTGGTTGGAATAACTACTGTGAAGGACCAACTTACACGGCACAGGTTGGCCAGTTTGCAGAGTTTGGCGGCCTTGAGGTCGTGAAACTGCACCACGATCTTCCCGTTCTGGCGGATGCCCGACACCGTCCCCACGCCCCACTCGTCGTGCCGCACCAGCCCGCCCAGCCTCACTCTGGAGTCCACCGAGCCAATCACAGCAAGGACAGCCAGGACGGCTCCTGTTTGGCTGATGGTCACCTGACCTTCCACTTCAGACATCTGCTCAGTGGAAGGAAAAAGTTAAAAATATGTCTTACTTCAAATTCACAGTAATGATAACTTCTTTTTCCAATCATTATGGTTGTTATAAGAAAGAGGGTATGTAAATGTAGCACATTGGCACAACGTACTGCACCTGCACAAAACCCGTAATCATTAGATTGTGCATAGCACTGCGGCAGAACGTGTCGTTTTAAGTAGTATTCAAATATTCAAGGATGACATTCCAGCTGTAGTATTTAACTGTTGGTATAGAAAAGACATCATCTGCAACAGGCAAAATTCTGATCTAATGAAAACCTTGAAAAACCTGTGATTATGTTCCAATCTCCCCAAACATCTTCATACCTGTAGTGGTTTAGGTTTGTTGCTGATGATATCAGCAATGACGCTGAGGTTACTGCTGATGTAGTAACTTTAGTTCTTACCTGGAGTGGTTTAGGTTTGTTGCTGATGATATCAGCGATGACGCTGAGGTTACTGCTGATGTAGTAACTGTTGTTCTTACCTGGAGTGGTTTAGGTTTGTCGCTGACGATATCAGCGATGACGCTGAGGTTACTGCTGATGTAGTCGTTGATAAGTCTGTTCCAGGAGTCGATCCCGTGGAGCGTCCTGAGGAGGGAGACCAGCTCCTCCGCCACCGTGCTGCTGTGGGAACACGTCAGGGCTACCTTCGGCCGAGGGCTCTTCTTCTTCTTACACGTGTCTGGTAGGGAGGAATGGGTTGGATAGGTAAGGGTAACATTCCTATAACCTTTTTCAGGTCGTAAAGGCAGTGGGTTGCTAATCTAATGTGTCTAGGACATGGTATTGGAAGGCAGGGTTACATCCCTCTCCTTCAACAGTTTACTGCCTTCTACCTCCTCAACTGAACCAATTTTACACCTAGGTGGACTGAGGAAAGTCTTGTAAAGTGCATTTCTCAAGGACACTACATATACAGTATGTCTAGCCAAGAATGCTAGTGTAGCCACTTGGCCATTTGATGCTGCTAGACCAATCTAATTTGCTGCCTCAGTGTAAGAAATTTGTATTTAAGACAAGTTACGATTGAAGACACATACATGTGTAGGAAGGAAGCAGTGGGCTAGTCTTCACACCACATTTCTGAGCAGCTCTGTCCAGCAGATTTATGCTGGTGAGGCCACACACTTTGATGTCCCTCTTGATACAGAACTAGAACACAGAGCACACAATACTGACCTATGGCTTGTAGAACGGGGTCAGCATTACACTGCATCAGCACACTGCCCAGCAGACTGAAGAGCTGGTTGATGATGTTGTTCATCTGCTGTCCCTGCTGACTCAGCTCCCAGGACGGCAGGACAGCATGCAGCAATCTCAGGCACAGCACCTGGGGGAGGAACAGTAACAGATATATACATGTAGATTTGTTAGATATCCATTTTCTTTTTTTATATTCTTGATTTCTGCAGTTTTATTTTGGATTTCTACAGCTTTCTTGGTGAGCTTTTACAGTGAAATCACGATCATAAGGCAAATATATGTTTTGTACATCAACAGTAAATGCACTACAGGATTGTTTTCACTTTGAACTTCCATGAAACACCATGAATGCCAACTTTCCCAATACTACTGCAAAATTCAGCCCCAGCAAAAACAAATGAAATGTTTAGTTAATTTTAGTTGATTTTGACACAGTGACCCTTGGTTATTCTAATTTTTGTTTACTTTCTTCTATTTGAGATTACATGTTGTGATCAGCCCCCCTCCAACTTCCTACATAATGTAATCCAACACCACAGGTCACTATTTGTTTGGAGAAGACAAAACTGAGCAAAACCAAATATTGTTTTCCTTTAAATTTGTGAAGGTAAACAATTATTAACCTGTCTGGTGAGTGCTGTATTGAGCGGCTGCTCGCCCACAATCCTGAGCAGGAGTTGTATCCACTGCGGTGTGCTGAGGGCGTGGCAGACTGTGGGTGATGTAGCGATGCTGCGGATGAACCCCAGCGTGGCCCAGTCTCTGTGCTGCAGGCACGCAATCGTACCACTGTTGGACTGGGCACCTGGGAAAGGAATGAATTTATTTGAGTGAATTTCTTTATTTTGGGTATGCTGACCTAGAAACACAGTGATGACTGTACAGACATAAATACGCATAGATTCACAAATAGATTAGACATACAACAGTTTATACATTATTCTGAAAAAAAAAGAGTCTTTTAACTGGTAATCTGATTTTAGAAAACATTGCATCACTCTGTTGTGGATATTGTACAAAAGTATAGTCTGTTAATGAAAGAATTATTATAATAATAGCATTTCATAATTCTAGGATTTTTAATTTGGTTTGATTGGATTGTGTAATTGACTTTCTTGATTAACTATACTGTATTAGAAATTAATTTGTGTACAACTTACTTTGTTCCCCGATGGCTCCACTCTCCACCAGAACCCTGAGCAGCTCGCAGACCGTCCTGACGGCCTCCCGCTGTACGATCTCCGCGTGTACGCCCATACAGATGGTCAGCGTACGCAGCAGGGACGAGCAGGCACGCCGGATCAGGGACGTGGGGTGGGTGCTGTCGTCCTTCGCATTCTTAGAATCTAGGGGAAGAAAGTGGTAGGTAATGGTAAAGGTAGTCCCATAGCCTTTTTACAGGCCTTAGGGTGAGTGGGTTGTTGATCAGCTGTGTCTAGGGCAGCTCCACCCTCTTTTTCTACCATCTTTTACTTCCCCAAGTTACTGAAGTCAGGTACCAATTTTACACCTGGGCGGAGTGAGGAATGTTGTGTAAAGTTGCTTTCCCAAGAACAAAACATCTAGCCAGCAATGATAGGGATCGAAATGGTCAAAGCACCCTTCTTGCAGCGCCACCTACCAAAAAGTGAGTACTGCAGTGTTATAATGCTGGCACATCCAATTGCAAAAACTAATTCAATAATGTCAGTGATTTCCTGTTTACTTCAACACTGATGACCAGTGGCCCGCATTGTGTTAGGTAAGTTAGTAAAATGCATGATTGCTTTAATTCATAAGGATGAAACAATAACAAAACAAGCCTTCCCACCTGGAACGATGTCTGTCTCCTCCTCCTCCTCCTTCTCCTGCAGTGGTGGAGGTTCAGCCAGCTTCAGGTCGTACTTCCCCTCCTTCCCCATGCGGTATGAGTTTGTGCTGCCTGTGTCCCACTGTACCCTGATCCACCCGTCCTCCCCCAGGTCTCCTATCACCCGACCTTCTCCTGGGGGTGGGCCGTCCTGGCAGGGAGTACAACAGATTCATGTAAGAAACACGTAAGAGATTATGAAACAACTTTGAATTGTAATTTCCAACACACGAATTTGAACTTTTTGATAGTTCAACTAATTCATTGGACCGGAAATGGCTTGTCCCTAACAGATAACAGATAAAATCACTTTTCTATTGACCAAATATTTTTTTTTTAGCTTGCAATTGTTTTAGAACTGCTTTTTTAAAACTCCAGTCATTCTCCATTATTCAGTGGCATCCATATCATATCTCCTAACTCACCTGGTCTCCCCACTTCCAGTCCACCCCCCTGACCACCCTGACTCCAGGTTTCATCAGGGCAGCCAGCTCAGGCCCACTGATGGGGACAGGCGGAGGCTGGGGCTTACTGCGGCTCTCCTCAAACACTGCAGCAACGTTGTTACAGCTGGGGTCCTCACTAGCCTGCTGGGAGTCTGGACCTGCATGGTGGAAACAAAGGCTAGTTGTAACAATGTAGACAATGTATGGGAACAGCATACAACTGTAGCTATGATGTACATGTATTATGTAATAGAAAATACACTACAAAGGTAAAATTTGAAAAGCAAATGCATGATGTTTACCTTTGTATTATGGTCAAGCCTAACACTACTGTTTATTCTTACTCAAAAAATTCATATGTATGGTGACACAGTGACTCCCCAGAGAATTTATCCAGTTGCTTTTGACATGGGTGCTCAAAGGAAGAGGTGCTATCTGTACATGTTCAGACCTACCTGCTAGTCTCATGATGGTCTGTGTGAGTGCCAGGGCGCCCCTGTTCAGTAGCTGGCTCACCCCCGTGGCCTGGTGGGGCATGGTCAGCATGCCCAGGGTGGCAAGTAGGAACCTGGCCTGGGGTGGGAGCAACAGAGTTATCTACTTACAAATGATTGCTGTACACTATTGATGAGTCTACGCTATTACCAACATCCAGATACAGCTATAGGTCAGCACAAGATGGCCTACTAGAAATAACACACAATAATAATTGAGTCATTGAAACAGGAGAATTATTTTTTTCCTGTTAATAATATTATAACAGATCAGAGAATTTGCCCCCAACTCTGTCCTTTCACTTACTACATAATGTAATCCAACACCACAGGGTGTCTGCTAAAGCACCAGTTACTATGGTGACAGATGTCTGGTCCAAGTCCTTTACTTTATAATTTTGGAAATGGAAGAAGATGAAGAAGAAACGGAGCTAGAGCAGTATGTTCTGTTAAGGTACAAAATAAACCATCAATCATTATCATCATCATCAGACATACCTGAGGAAGGATCCCCAGACTGAATGTCTCGGCGCCTGGCCCTGCTCCTTGTGCCGACATCTTGTAGTTGTGGTCTGCGTGGAGCACGGCTTCCCGTAGCGTGGTGATGGACCACTCGTTCAGCTTCCCGAAGGCGATCTCCAGGGACACGCGATCGTTGGGCGGGATGAGGGAGGCATTGTCCAGGCAGTGGGGAAGGGGGTCACTGGGGAGACAAAATTTTCTTTCTTTATTGTTTCTTATGATTTCAAACACAATGTATCTTATCTTGTTACAAAAGTGGTCTTCCCATGAAAGTTACAAAGCAGTTCATTCAACTGTGTAGATTTATGACTACATAAAGATTACAAATGCTAATAGAACAGTCAGCAGACAATACATGAAACCAAGAAAAAATTAGCATTAAATTTAATATGATTGGCAGATGGTGGATCCAGTCAGTGGGAAAACATTTTATAAGTCTTAAATTCAACTAGACGTCCTTTTGATAAGACTTCCGGCCATACCGAATTGGTTATCCAAATGGGAGAATGATAATTCTTTTCCTATTTTAGCAGACCATTTGCTAACAGTTCTTATTTTCAATAATATCTATTTACTTTACCATATTCTCTTACAGTACTATCTTATAGCAGTAAAGCAAAATGGCTGTGGTGTCTATAAAATGATGTAACATCTCATCATTTACCTGATTCTCTTAGTGGAGAACTGCAGGCCCTGCCAGCCACACAGCACCTGGTACCGGACTGATGGGATCAGGTAGTCCTTTGACAACAGCTCCAGCATTGCATCTGCACCTTTTAGTCTCAACCTCGCTCTTTCCACCTAGGAAAATACATTGGTTACTAGTTACTAGAAACTAAGGTATAAGATATAATATGTATTTGCAAAGCAAATACATATTATATCTTCTCTTAAACTACAGTAACTGCTTTGTTTATTCTTCATATAAACATTCATATACAAAAATGTATGTAGTGACCAGCCCCTCGTCACACTCTGTCCTACCCACATAATGTAATCCAACACCTCAGGGTGTCTGCTACAGCACCAGTTACCATGGTGACAGCCGTCTGGCCCAGGTGATTGACCTTATTTGTTTCAAACTGGAGAATGGGGAGAAGGAAGAAGAAATGGAGCAAAACCAATATGAAGTAGGGACTCACAAACAACCCCATTTTCTGTTGACAGCTATAAACTATGCAACATTTTTAGAGTGTCCCTGACCTGTCTGTGCAGTGCCTTCCTCAGTTTCTCCACATCGATGGGTCCGTCCTTCAGCACAAACTCTGTGATCTTGTTCATGAGCGTGGCGTGTGAGCGCGTGCCTGTCAGCCTCTGTCTCAGCCACTTGAAGTTACGGGCGCTCGTGATGGCAGTTAGAATCATATCCCAGGATTCCTGTTTGTAAAATGGCATAATGGTAACTCTTACTTAATCTATCCTTAAGTCTAATTATTTGACCATTGTGGCAGAACAACCAGTTTTCTCCACCCTTCTTGATTTTCTGTTCTTCTTAGTGCAATGCACAGGGGCCTGGACCTTGATGTAGTTCAAGTCTTAGAGTTATAGAAGCCATAACAGGTAAACCCTCTTTAAGCATAACACAGCAGTATTGTGCAGTAAACCTATAGATTCTAGTCAAGACTACCTTGCCACCGTCTGACATGTTAAGATCACCTTAGCCTTGAACTTGGCCACTTCTCGGACGACGTCTTCAGGGTCGTCTTCCTGCTCCTTCTCCTCGTGAGCCTCTCCGTCTGCCTTCCCGTCTCCCTGCCCCTCCTCCTCAGCCTCTACCTCATCATCCTTCCCAGCATCCTCCTGGGGACAAACAAACATGGCTGACAATCAGGTACCCACTATCAAGAACTTTGCAGAACGTACTGCGCCTGCGTGAAAAATTAAACTAAAGATAACTAAAATACACGAATATACCACCTAAAAAGGGACATTCTGCTGATGAGCTATGAGCTACAGTATGGGTTTCACATACATGTAGGAGCAGTAAGTTCTATCAACAGCATGCTTCACTAATCACTATATATATAATGGTACTTGTTGTGCTGTGGTCTAGTGCCTTGCAAGCGACAATATTATTCATCTATCCCATTGAATTGAAAGGGAACTGTAAATAACATAGAGAAGTTTCTAACCTGGACTTCTTTAGTCTCCTGCAGTGCTGCAGCCTCTTGTTTCTCCTCCAGCTGCAGGGCCACTGCAGCCAACTCTGCTGCAGCTGAGGGGTAGAGAAAAATATCTCAATACAATGGAACTAAATTTGAAGCTTGATCCAGAGAAATTCCTTTTATGTTCACCTTTAAGTTCCCAAAAGGAGATTGTTTTTGCTCTGTTTCTTCTTCTCCAAACATAAAAGGACTGGTCAATAACCTGTACAACTTGTAGAAAGGTAATCCAAAAAATAGTACTGATATTATCAAAGGCTTTGTTATATTGTGCAACAAAGTCATGTACTAACCAGCAGCCTCTTGCTTTTCCTTTCTCTTGTCTTCGATCATTGTCTGCACGAACGCTCTCCATCTGGTGTGCGTGGCCAGCACCTTCAGTCTCCGGACCAACGACAGTTCATTCGCGACTGCCGGGCGCAGCTCATTGAACAGGAATAGACACCTCTCTATCATGGGGGCACAGACCTCCTTGTAGGATCTGCCAAGATCCTGGTGGGCCTGGGAGGGAAGAGTGAACATTGTACATACAAATTAACTCATAGACGATTAAAAATCAACTACTGGAAAAAAGTTGAGTGTAAAGCAGTGTTGCAGGCTGTACATGTTTTATTATGCTTACATTTGCAGAAGGAAAATACATGGTTTTTGCTCTGTTTCTCCTAATATTCTCCAAACAAATAATGAATGATCGTGTGAAGGTGAATCTTACGCATTTACTTTGCGGATGTTACTTTTCTATGTGATCATCATACAGTGGAACAGGAAAGTCAATGTAGCACAGTTTGTAAGGACACATGACAGACTTACTTTGATAAGAGAACATTTGGCACGGTACACAGCCTGGCACACGTCTCCTATAGAGCTGGGCAGTTCAGCCTGCTGTGCTGCAGTACCGGTGGTTTCTGCTGGGGGGTGCTCGGCTGCAGGAGCCTGCCTGTCTGGTGGGTGAGCCTGGTGCTCCAGGAAAGTCAGGACTGCGTGGCCCAAGTCCAGGTGCTTCAGGAGGCAGGCTAACAGTAGTCTCCCCACCTAGGGAAACAGACACATGAGAAGAACTGTCATGTAAAAGGTAAAGGTAGTCCTTTGTCAGACTGCAGGGACTCCACGGTGTCTAGTGAACGAAGGGCCCATCCCTAGCCTCTAGCCCTAGCCTCTCCTTCCACCACCATGTACCTCCCCAATGAAAGTACATTACATCAAGCCAGATACACCTGGGTAGAGTGAGGAAAGTCGTGTTACATGTAAGTGCCAAACCCATGTCATTCAGCTGTTTGACCACCAATAACTAGCTACAACCAACGAACAATACAAAACGAGCAACTGTTTTCTGTCAGCAACATAACATTTTTGCCTCACAGATGAGTATGCTATGGTGTAGGGTTGATTCAACTTAATACGTTTTAAAAAATGACCAGAAAAATCAGTTTTACTGCCCTAAAGATCACTTTGTCTGTCCTTACCTCCTCCACAGGATGGTCCTGAGGGAAGTGTATAGGTGTGACGTAGTGGTGGTTCTTACAGTACTGGTCCACACTGGTCAGGAACAGCTTCACACTGGGCTCCTGCACACGGCTCTCTGCCAAGGCCTGGCAAACACAAACACATGTTGTAAAATTTATTTCAGAAGCTTTGTTCAAAAACAAAGGAAACACTCACCATGAATTTTAAGTTGATCTTGCTGACCTTCCTCACATACACGACAAACGTCTTAAACGTCTGATGAAAGTTGGCAAGATCGACTAAAAATACATGGTGATACCTGGAGCTCGTGACATCTCTACCTGACTTGCACTACCGACAGCACGGTGAGGAAGAAAGTGAGGGTTAAGCCCAGGTATTGGCCATCCCTGTACATGCGCCTTTCTCCTTCTTTGTTGGGCAAGTAAACAATGCAGATAGCAAACATTGAAAACGTGAACAGTCGCAAGAGGGAAAATAAGGCATTCTGATTTTGATGCACGATTTCCTTCGATACTGGTTGTGATGCACTTCCACCCATTTGTCTAAAGACAACTGTCACCATTGGCGACACGCATCAGTCTACTGTCACCAGTCTAAGGTGTGCCTTACCTGTAGAAATGGTTTAGCTGGGTCAGTCTGCGAGGTTTGTCGGGACAGTCTCCTGCTGAACCCCAGGGGACTGTCCTCTCCCCCTGGGGGCACCGTGCTGGCAGGGGTGGTGGCACTGGACCGCACCTCTCCCTTCTCTTCTTGGAATGGGTTAGGTGGCTGCAAACACTGTACATACAACAAACTTTTACTAACAAAATAAAAGTAAAAACACTCCATAAGAACATAAGAAAGTCACTGTACTTCTGTCGAGTCAATCAAGAATCTGTTTTATGTGGTAACCAGCCCCTCCAACTGTCCTACAACTTGCTACATAATGTAACCCAAGACCACGGGGTGTATGCTACAGCAGCACAAGTCACCATGGTGACAAACTTAGTCACAAGAACAGAAAACATTCTTAAACCGGTCCCTGACCTGCAGCCCTCCAGAGAAGAGCTCCGACTGGAACCACTGGCTGCACTCCTCCTCCATGGTGGTGACGGGCAGACTGAGGGCCTGGCTGTTGGCGCTCAGACCCATCAGCAGTCCCAGGACACGCTCCGTGTCAATCAGCGGGGAGGAGATGGTGGTGGTGTCCATGGGGTGGACAACATCCTGGTCAGGCTGGGGATGAAACAAGAGGCAGTAATTAGACTAGAAAGGTAACTTGTTGTAAAGCATACCTTCACATGGTCTGGCCCAACAAACTACTGCTTTGTTTATTCTTACTCAACACACATTCATATAGATGGTGACCAGCCCCTACAACTCTGTCCTGCCACTTGCTACATAATCCAACACCACAGGGTGTCTGCTACAGCACTAGTTACCATGGTGACAGCCGTCTGGTCCAGCTCATTGACCTTATTTGTTTGGAACGGAAGAAGAATACGAAACAGAGAAAAAAGCAATATTTTTTCCTTGCTTAGGAGACCAGATTCTATAGTTCCCTAGCATGGTATTCTTAGACAAGTTTTATACAGTACGTATTATACACACCTCAACATAGACGCCGACAAAGAATGCCTGCATCATGTCCCGAGCCTCCTGTGAGTGGTGAGCCTCTTCAAATGCCTCTGTGGCATCTCGAGCTGTGAACAATGACAATGATGACAATGGCAATACAAAGTGTCTTAAACAGACAATATGAATTGTTTACTAATCTCAACATCCCCCTTCATTTTGTCTCTGATTTCTGCTGGCAGCACTGTTTGACCTTATTTCTTAAGAAGAAACAGAGTGAAAATAACATTTCTCAAAGCTTAACTCATACATCCAAACTGAAGCCCTCACCGGCATACTCCAGCAGGTTCTCACTCCCACACGGTGCCTGCAGCTGGAAGTCCTTGACGTCGTACACCTTCCCGTGGATAACCACCCACAGCCCGCCGTCCTTGTTGTGATTCTCAAGGTCAGCCTTACGGATCAGCTGGACGTCCTCGTTAGGTCTGCTGGCCGCCGTGATGTGGGATATAGTGCCTGGAAAACAGCGTGTGTCAATCAGGCTTTTTGACCTTAAATTTTACAACATCTTGACCCCAAATGTTGTAACACTACAAGTGAGCAGCATTTTTTATTATGTGAAAAATTAGATTTAATATAACATGAATATTTTGATATTATGTCAATTTCCACAGTTAAGACAATAAAACTAGAAAGGTAATATTTACATGCAAAGGAAATGCATATGTTCACCTAAACTACTGCTCTGTTTGTTCTAAAATAACTCATATACTACATAGTAGTATAGTACTATATAGTGACCAGCCCCTTCAGCTCTGACTTGCTACATAATGTACCCCAACACCAGTTTCCAATTAACAATTGACTGTGAAAAGCAGTGTAATTCTATCCATCTAGAATGTGTCTGAGCTTACCGAGTACCCCCGGCCAGGCCAGGTCCTCTCCGTCATCCCTCTCCAGCCCGGGTGCCAGCCGGTTGTACCTGTCCAGCAGCTCCAGCAGGCCGCCCAGCGGCTGGATGGCCCGAGACTCCTGCAGCACGTCCGCAGCCTGGGTCTGCAGCAGGACCATGCACACCACCAACTCTGGCAGCAGAACTCCTGAAACAGCAAGATTACAGTTAGAACTGCAGCAGTACTCCTGAAACAGCAAGGGTACGGTTAGAACTCCTGCAGCACCACTGAAACAGCAAGGTTACGGTTAGAACTCCTGCAGCACCACTGAAACATAACACACACAGAACACCTGCAGCAAATCTGCAGCACATCCGCAGCCTGGGTCTGCAGCAGGACCATGCACACCACCAACTCTGGCAGCAGCACTCCTGAAACAGCAAGGTTACAGTTAGAACTGCAGCAGTACTCCTGAAACAGCAAGGTTACAGTTAGAACTGCAGCAGTACTCCTGAAACAGCAGGTTTACCGTTAGAACTCCTGCATCACATCCGCAGCCTGGGTCTGCAGCAGGACCATGCACACCACCAACTCTGGCAGCAGCACCCCTGAAACAACAAGGTTACAGTTAGAACTCCTGCAGCACTACTGAAATATAACACACACAGAACACCTGCAGCAAATCTGCAGCACATCCGTAGCCTGGGTCTGCAGCAGGACCATGCAGACCACCAACTCTGGCAGCAGCACTACTGAAAAAGCAAGGTTACAGTTAGAACTCCTGCAGCAGTACTGCTGAAACATGACACAAACAACTCCTGCAGCACGTCCGCAGCCTGGGTCTGCAGCAGGACCATGCAGACCACCAACTCTGGCAGCAGCACTCCTGAAACAGTGATAGTACATCTTGAGTCTCCTTTCACAAGCATTTCAGCACCAAGGACAGTGCCACCGATGAATGCAAAACCAGTGTTGCATACATGGTACATAATATTGGTACTGTACCGCAAAAATCTATTCACTGTGGCCATCACTCAGGCCACAGCGGATATGTATGCTGATGACACATCAGCCTACATATGCGCTCCTTCTATTGAAACTATCTCACGTAATCTACAGACAGAGGTAAACAACATCTGTAACTGGGTAAGAGTGAACCAGCTTTTCTTGAACACTTCAAAAACAAAATGTATTGTACTGGGGAGCAAGCCCAAAATGTCTGCTAAACCCAAACTCACACTAACTGCAAATGGTAAGGTTATCGAACAGGTCTCAGAGGTAAAACTACTTGGTTCGACAGTAGATGAGTGCCTTACCTGGAATACTCACACAAAATTAACATCTAAGAAAATGGCTAGATCACTGGGGATGATCAAAAGATGCGCACACTTTATGGATCAAACATTGTTAAAAATTGTAATAGAATGCCTTGTACTATCTCACATTGATTATTGCAGCCCAGTTTGGTCATGCACAACTAAAACTAACATAAACCTTCTGCAACGAATGCAGAACAAGGCAACTCGTCTGTTTCAGTCGAAGCCACAGTGGAAACCTGTGCACACGAGATTGTTAATAAACACCATGACAACATTTAAAAGGATAACACTCACAAACGAACCTATTTGTATCAGTAGGCAACTGCGTTCGGTCAACAACTTGCATAGTTATAGAACCCGTTTTGCTGCTAAACAATCTTTTCTGTTAGAGAAACCTAGAACTAACGCACTGATGAAGTGTTTCATGTACAGGGCTGTCAGTGTGTGGAACAACCTTCCAATTGTCATGCAATCCACACAATCCCTGAGAGTGTTTAAGGATGGTTTGCACAAATACATCCACCAGTAGTTACAAGCACTGTTCGACAGGATTGTCAGTTTTTTAAATTATGTATATTGTAAATATGTTATTGTTATTGATTTAGATGTGTTTGTGACTTGTCTAGTTGTCAACCATGTTTGTATAATGTATTGTCTCTGTGAATGAATACCAGGAAGATTAGCGGTGGACCCTAGGGTCCACCGCTAATGGTTATTCTAATAAAGTTTCAAAGTTTCAAAGTTTCAGTACAGGTGCAAAATATGAATCAAGAAGACTTACTCTGTACTTTACTGACATAAAGTTACACTACCCTAAGAGGTCATATTGCAACAGATCAAAGTTTATCAATGTTTCTGTCGTTATTGAAGAAGTTCACAAAAACATGTTGATTTGTCCAATTGTTAAGGTACAGGTACAGGTCAACCGTAACTGTACCTGAACAAAAACGTATGTCATTCCATTGGGGGTGAAGTGAAGTACATTGTAACAATGATTACAACTTACCAGAGAGGTCTGCACTCAGGACGCTGGACACCACGGCAAAGTGTTTTGCGCTGATGGCAGCGAGGCTAGCGGCCACGGGAAGCACGTCCGCCACATGGATGCACAGCAGGGCCACGTACTTCCTGAGGAGGGAGCCAGCACCCAGCAGCTCCAGATCTACAGGGACAGCACGACCTTCATTCAGCACAGCACAGCACAGGATAGAGGACATGGCAGGTGGGGTTACATTCAGACATGGGATGTAGTGACATGTGGATGATTGAAGTTAACACAGTAGTTTTCTAGTTAGAACATGACACTGATGTTTTCCTGCTACTTCTAAATAAGATCCCAACATGTGAGGGGCAAAATGAGCCTTCCAGATGATGCTGTACTTGTGATATCATGGATTCACAAAACTTGCTGAAGGAATAAAAAATACAGTTTTGCTTGTAATATCTACAATTATAGATAGAATATTGTACTGCCCCTGTAACAAACCCATGATGCATTGTACAAAGCACTTTGGCAGAACATTCGGGTATTCTAGTTTTCAAATGTTGTGTCAGAAAAGATGTTGTCTGCAACAGGCAAAATTCTGATGCAATGTGGACCAAACATACAACGAAAGCCATGAAAAATCTGCACTGGCACAGTATGTTCTTTGGACACACAGAATGTTTTGTGGAAATGATCCATGCACCAGTATACATAACAAATCCAGTCTTTCCTACCTATTTCCTCCACGCCTGCCCTGTCCCTGGCCTCCTCCAGTGGGAAGAGTTTCCCGACCAGAAGACGCTGGAATCGCAGCAGCAGGTCCTGGGAGGGAGACTTCCCCTTCTCCTCCACACCGGTGAACTGGTACCCGTTCACTCTGTTCACGTCATGGGCCAGCTCCTTCAACCTCATCAGGGTCTGCGATGAAACATTCCTGGGGACAAAGAACAAAGTGTATCTAAGAACCCTTTCTCTTTTTATTTAAAGAAAATGCTGGTGAGAACCCTCAGATAATATATGATTCATACATTAATAAAACATTGTTAAAAGTATTATTTTTTCTATATTATTATTATCCATACTTCTTGAAGGTCAATGACCAGGACAAGACAGCTGTCACAATGGCAACTGGTGCTGTAGCAGACACCCTGTGGTGTTGGGTCTTATAATTTCTTACCTAAGTAGCTGCTGCATCAACTGAAGCAGTGGAATGGTGGACCCAGAAGACCGAACTCTCCTGATGTCAGCTTCCACCTTCTTGGCCTTTTCTTCCGTCTTGCCTGCCGTGGCTGAGGTGTCCTCTTCTCGTTCATCTTGGTGTCTCTCCAGTTCCTTCTCTTTCATTCCCTCTATCTCCTGCATCTCTGTCTTGATGGCTGCGGCGAGGGCGGACTCCAGACCGCCGTCCGCCATGAGGCTGCTGACCAGCAGGTCCATCATGAACCGTCGTCCTGGGGTCATCGAGGCTCCATCTCCAGAGGCTAGGAGGCAAAAATATGTCAAAATGTCTGCCATTTCCTTTTACATCCAAGGTGTCCTTGTTATGAATTTTACCGGTCTACAAAACAGCATAAGGTGAAAATTGATTGCAGTGATTCTAGCTCCAGGGTTTGAAATATGCATTCTCACCATGCCAGTCATGTTTTTAGCTTAGGTTGCCCACTCAGCAACCTGAGAAAAAAGTATTTCGAACCCCAAGCACCCACTATCAGAAATAAACCTAGTTGAAGGTAAAGATGAATCAGATTACAACAAATTTAGTACTTCACTGCTTTTTTGTATAGGATCTTAAGCATAAATTCATTTTGAAGGAAGATATTCTATGAAGTAAACTCCTACCATCACTTGGCAGCAGTGCAGACAAGGCCCTGGCCCGTTCCTCTGCTGTAGGGAGCAGGAGTAACCAGCCACTCTGTAGTGTGGCCTGTGCTGCAGTCTGTACCGTCCCCAGTACTCCTGTGTTACTGGCCAACTCCACCACTCGCTGCTTCAGACTGTTCAGCAGGGGGCTGCCTGGCTGCAGGTTCAACCTGGTGTGAAGGTGGTCTTGTGGTTAGGGTTGTTGGCTTAGAATCTAAAGGTTATGGGCTCAAATCCCTAGCAAGCACCAATGTTGTACCCTTACAAAAGGCACTTTACAAATATTTCCTGACTCAACTCAGGATTGTTGACTTAGAACCTAAGGGTCTGGGTTTGAATCAACAAGAGTAGTGGTCCATTCTGGTGTCAGTGGATCAAACCTTACAATCTAGTCTTACAAAGTTTGTAGCTACTGTACATGCCTGCAGACAGTTAAAACTAGTTATGCAAAACAAACAAACAAACAAACAAACAAACCTGGCTGGGTCCTCATTCTGAGTGATGGCAGCATGGAGCTGGAAGAGGAAACCAACAGTGATTAATTCAATTAATTTTATTGCTTAAAATTGACTATGAAATAACAATTCAAACTTGCTTAAATTTAAAAGTCAAGAGCATTTACCTGTAACCTGTAAGACACACATATAGCTAACAAAATAATATCCAAATTGGGAAGAGCTTAGGATAGGTCTTGCCTAGCTGAGCAAAATCGTGGAATCGTGGAAATGTGCCGAATGGAAAAGGGATCCTGCCTTGGGAGTTCCTTCTCATGGAAGTCTGTTAAGAGCTCAGGGCAGCTTGCTGTTCCAAAGAAGCATGCTGGGCTAAGAGTAAAGAGACTATGACTTCTACTAACACAGATTTCATGTTAAAAGTCCATTGCCTTTACCTGTAACCTGAGCAGGTTGAGCCCGGCCACAGCCATGCATTCCTTCTCCTGGGGCGGCGGCCAGTCACTACGCCCGTCCAGCCCCTCACACACCCGCTGCAGCAGCTGGTCCAGGTGCTGGAACGTCCCGTGGCACACGTCCACCACAAACGGCACCCGCAGACCCACGCTCCAGTGTCCGGTCGACGTCCAGCAGAAACTCTGGCATAGGAAAACGGGATTTATTCAATATTACCTTGAATTTATCAACAGTCGATCATTCATTCATTTGTTTGTTCATTCATTAATAAATCAAGTATGAGTTGCGGGTGCATTTGTCCAGTCACGAAAATGCAAATGACTTGCTCATTTACATACCGGCACATTTGACATCATATTGACCACACTGGCACACTGTCTGCATACTGGGCTCTAGCTCCCTGCTGTAGTGTTTTCACAATTGTGTGGAAGGGTTTTTTTTATGGAAATGGGTGCCACCCTATGCACCACCTGGTGCCTGGTGGAAAGATTTGAACAACATTGTGATAATTAAATAATTGTAACCTGAGCAGGTCCACAGGCGATGCCACTGATAGACTTGCCGTCCAGCGGCATGAGGGTGGGGTCAGACTTGGTGCTGAAGGACGAGTCTCCCAGCTGGCCCTGGTCGTTACGCCCCCAGCCATACACCTGCAACAAACAACAACAAATCAACAAAACAACTTAGATGTAAACAAATGAATAAAAACAGCTAAAACATACAACTTAAATAAACAATGCAATGAGATTTCTGCAGAAACATGTTCTTTCCCAAGATTTCTTCAGATTCTCCAGCAATTTTTGACAATAGAAAACTGTGACAGTCTATGACAGTTAAGGATACACTTTTAAACTTCACCGGGCAGCAGCAGACAATAGACTGTAGACTAAAAAAGCACTAAATGTGGCGATGATGATGATCAAGATGAAAGCTTTAATTCGTGAAAAAATCAGCAAGTACCAACATAGAAAAAGGACTGGTAACCAAACCCACCTCTCCTTCCTCTGTCATGACCAGACAGTGCATGGACCCCACCGCCACATCCACCACCTTCTTACCCCTCAGTCCCTCCAGCTGCTTGGGGAAGCGGATATGTTCCTCTGTGCCATGTCCCAGTCTCTGGCTGTCTCCCTTACCCCTGGTCAGGAACAAAGTGGAAATGGAGATTACTAGATCCAGTTTAGCTAACTAAAGAGTTACCACATTACACACAGCACGGGGGTATCAAATTATTTTCTTCCAATACATTGTACCTTAAAATATAGATAAAATGAAAAATAAACTGCTTCACCTGGACCCCAACAACTAAACCATACAAATGTATACTGAAAATTCACTTATCTATCAAACCCTTTGTGAATTATAGCTGCAAACACACATAATGAAAATCAAAACAATACCTTACAAGTAGTACTTACCAAGTCCAGATATGTCCAGTTTTAGTGAGTGCGAGTGAGAACTGTGCCCCACAGCACACCCTGACGATGTCCTGTCCCTGTAGTCTGTCTATAATCTTAGGAGTCTTACACCCATCACTGCCTCCCCTGCCTAACTTCCCATAGTCACCATCTCCCCAGGACCACACAGTACCTGTACATACACACAATACAATGTCATGTAGGCTTTAGATAAAATTAATATTAGTTTTCCAGTTATTGCTCTAATGGTACAATGTATGTACTTAAGCTACAAGATCTTAGAGCTAGGAGATAGAAAACTGGAAGCACATCCATTTTGCTTACTGAAAAGCTAGTCTTCCATTGGCTGGGAGGTCATTACAATGTACACTACAGTTTACAAGGGGCTGCTCCTATCACATCACAATTGAATAGTGGACCATGGCTAAAGAATGCCCCTATTCTCAACCTTCAAGAGACATGCAAATCAGGTGAGGGATCATTGAACTAAGCAATGGGACCATGCATGCTACTAACATCATTATGATGAAGATGCACTGTGTTTTTCAGCTCAGAGCTGTTGAAACTGTTTCTTGTTTTGCTCTTGCATTGCATCCTAGTGTAGCAAAATCCAGTGCTTTTTGTGCAGGTGTATCTGTCTGCATTCAAAGAACATGTCCAAGCATACACAGAAACTTACCGTCATCAGTTACAGCCAGTGTCTGTGCGTCCCCACTCCCACAGCAGATCTCGATCACTCGCCGACCCTTCAGACTCACCACCAGGGTGGGGGTCAGCTGGTCCTCACTACTCCCTGTAACAGTTACATGTAGACATCTTCAGCAGGATTTGTTAGCATGGCATGGAAGATCAGTTGAGATGGTAAATTACAATGATCAACTTCTCGTGCAAGATGACAATCATCAGGCTATCCTGTTTCTTTGGACAGTGTCAGAGTACTAGACTACTTTGTGAGAGAGATAAAGATGCTTACGGCCCAGTTACATGTTGTGCGATTATCATAATATCATGATCGTAAACTGAAGCACTTTTTGGGTCTTGCCACAGAAAAGGCTTCTTATCTTTGCCAGCTGCTGGTTCTGTCACTGCCTGCTAGAAAATTCTACCGAATCAAAACCATAAAACCTCCAACAAATGTGACTGTGCCAATATAGGTCAAAGCTCTAGATCCTGTATTCTGACCATGTGCAAGCCTGTTGTAGTTGCGTAGTTAAGTTGCAGAAAATCAGCTTGAAATACATATAAAAAAATCTCCCATGTCCTGACCATGTCCGAGCCTGCCGTAGTTTCCCCTGCCCCAGGTGAAGAGTTCCCCGTCAGCGGTGATAGCTGCGCTGTAGGTACTCCCACACACGATGTGCACCACGTGTCGCCCCAGCTGCTTCCCTGACAGAGCTCGCACTAGTGTAGGCTCCTCACGGGAACTACAGGACAGAAGTCAGAGAGGCAAACTTGGTACTATGTACTTTGGTAAGTTGTAGTAAACTGTTAGTATGCTGTTGTGTTGTGAGTAACCTACATTCTACATTGACAGTACCTTAATCTTTTGAGGGTAACTGACTGAATTACCATGGTGACAGCTGTCTGGTATAGGTCAATGACCCTATTCATTTGGAGAAGAAACAGGACAAAAACAAAACTTTTAAATTCTATGGAAGTTAACATAAAAAATCCCCCTGAAACTCACTTGGTGTCTCCGTGTCCCAGTCGCCCACCATCTCCATTTCCCCAGGAGTAGACCTCGCCCTCTGATGTCAGGGCCATGTAATGTTTCCCCTCAGGGTGTGCCGCCACCTTCACCACCTCCTTGTCTGCCAAGCTCTCCATCAGCTGGGGGCCCTGAAATGGTAACAAGGAGTCTGGTGGCTAAACTTATTACTGAATCTGAAGGTTCTAGGTTCAAATCCCTGTAAGCCCCAGTGTTGTGCCCTTGCGAAAGGCACTTAACACCTACACATGTACATGAATTTCCTTACTTGACTCAAATAAAATTCAGTTAAGGACATCCTCTCAGATGGGATGTAAAATCTAGAGGTCCTGTGAGGCTATCAATTGTACATAACCGATCACAACGGAGAAACAAGCTCTTAAGCAGAACATCTTGTTTAAGGTTGTATTGGTGTATTTCATGATGACATTCTGTCTATGGTTTTCAAATGTTCTGTCAGAAAAGATACGTGTATTGTCTTTAACGGGCAAAATTCTGATGCAACGTTGACCAAACATCCAACAAAACCTGTGAAAAATCTGGGTTTCATGCAGAAGTATGTTCTGCCAATGTGCTACATTACATGCAGTATCAACCTTTGCTTCTTTGTTTGCTGTTGATTATATTAGTAGCCCTGCTCACCTGGCTCTCAGAACTGTAGTAGCACATGTAGACCCTGCCAGTCTTGGTGAGGGCCACCAGACACCTCTCAGCACAGGCCAGCTGCAGTACACCCAGCTCCCCCAACATCTCACACGTGTTCCCACTGCTGTTAGGACTGTTAGCACCACTCCAGGCCAGCCAACCCCAGCCTAGAACCTCCTGGGTACTACCCATTCCTGGCATCTATGGGGATAAAGAGTATGAATAAATTGTAAATACAGTAAAAATGTTACACACAAAGCTGGATACTGTTCAGTGTACTAGCCACCTGCTGCTGAAGGCCAACTATACAGACACAGATACAGAAGCTGGTATGTTAAGCTGAAGGCAGTTACACTGGAAATACAGATACAGAAGCTGGTGTAAGGTGCCAAAGAGCAATTATATTGGCTGTACAGAATACAGATACAGAAGCTGGTGTGTTATGGAGAAGGGTGGTTAAACTGGTTATACCGATACAGAAGCTGGTGTGATATTCCAAAGGGCAGTTATATCAGCTCTATAGAATAGAGATACAGAAGCTGGTGTGCTACACCAAAGAGCTATACAGATACAGACACAGGATTAGATACAGATGTGACTGAGCCTTGTTCCACACGTGGATGCCCAACCTTGTGTCCAGTGTTGGTGGATGTGGGAGGCATGAAGGGTGTGGCCAGTCTGTCCAGGTGAGACATGATGACCACAGCTGTCTGTCTCAGGTCCACAGGTGTGTCCTCTGCCTCAGGTAGGGTGATGTACCGCAGGAAACACTCCGTAGGGCTGATGCTCATGCTCATGCCAGACTGGGGAAGATAGACAAGTAATTTAATAGTAACAACTAGAAAGGCCGACATTTGCTTGGGAGCAAATACAGCATATTTCAGTCCATCTCCCTCCCACGCAAAAGTGGACTATTCCAAACTTACCCCAGTGCAAAACTGGCAAAGGTTCTCAAATAAATGAATTAAATAGTAGCTATATGCGAACAAAGATGCAACAACATGTACTTTGAATCTCGAAAGCTTTACTAATCTTATTACAGGTATGCAAAAACTAACAATGATGAGATTTGATACATTTTGAAGGTCTTAGGCACATAAAATTGAATGTGTGGGTCATTACGCACCACTTACGTGCAATGTGACCTCAGGTAACCCGCAATGGAACACGTGTTCCATGGATGGAACCGGCCATTCTTTAGATAGAACATGGAACGGGTACAGCACTTTTGGCCCTTTTTTTGCAGAAAATAGCCATTAAAGTGATATTATGTAGAATTTTCCCGCCAAAATTGAAAATACAAATAATTGAAATTTTCTCATGTAGATTGTCATTTTCGATAACTTTCAACGTATCAGCGTCGCTATTTCGCCTTTTCGGCAACTCAGCGCAGCGCGAGAATAAGTTGCGCAAGGCCAGACGTATTTATGTGTGCCACAATAAATAGAATGTAAACAAACAACGGTTTTCGTTCGGAAATCTTCGGCAACTTCCGGCGCGTGTCTGGATTCCATGGTTCGAACGCTTTCGAACGCTGGAGTTCGAAGCCGATTGACTTCAAATTTGCCAATTTTTGAAGGGTCAGTACCTAATCTAAAATCCACTTTTTGTATATACTTGAAAGTTATCATGTCACTTATCATATTGCATGTGGTAACCACATTCATACAGTTTCTCATACCAAGGAACGAAGTTTATGACATTACGCTAAATGTATCAAAATGTTGCGGAAACTCAGAATGGTGTGCGCCGGTAGCTACAACTGGGCTAAAATTTCGTCACCGCGATGTGTGCACCGTCGCGGTTTTCTTTGGGGCAAACCCGTTTGTCCTAAAACTAACCAGGGGACTTTGGTATCGATGTAAAGGAGAAGATTTGGGCTATCACACTGTGGTATTAGCTAATGGGATCCAGTTGGCCAGTAAAAAAAGATAAGCACAGATAAACTGACCAAAAATGCTAATGTTTGGAAGGCCATAACGATCGGTGTCATTTTGTAATGCACGAAATATCTACATTGTTGTACTAGGCAAATCCTGTAGATATGAAAAAGTATAAACGTTACGTATGCCTAAGGCGTTTTTGTTGCACTATTGGCAGTTGTCAAATCGTGACCCGGCATATGCCGTATTTTAGAGAATAACGTGTTCTACGGTGACCTGCGGTTCGGCTGGATTCGGGAATGCTCGGACGCGGTCGGATGTAAACAAACATGGCCGCGATCCGCGCTAGCGCCGCGGAGTGCGCAGTTTTCCAACGCGTATTTGCGGCGAAACGACGTTGATATGTTAATCCCCAAATGTCATCATGAAGTCAGGTAGGTGTAAAGAGCAAGAAAATGTGTAAAAGAAAGATTTCTAAAATAGTCAAACTTCTACATAATATCACTTTAAAGTCCCCCAAATGAGTCATTTGGAAGTGGTGTATGCCAAATATGTGACTGCTATATTCTGTAGACACATGTTCAAGGTACCCTTATACCGAATTTCAGATCATTTGGTTGTAAAACCAGGGCTCAGGATCCAAAAATCCATTTTTTGGCGAAAAATGCCCCAAAAAACCTTCATAAAAATTTTTCAAAGGCATGTATCAAAAAAATGAAAAAAACGCCTGGGGGTATTGGCCCACTCTACCTCCATGCCAAATTTCAAGTCATTTGGCTGAATGATGGCGGAGTTGAATCCCTTTGACTGTTTGGCAGGAGGAGAAGGAGGAGAAGGAGGAGAAGGAGAAGAAACATCAGAGAACACAATATATTTCATCCATACCATGGTATGGACTGAAATATAATCAACCGATGGAAACACTCCGTAGGGCTGATACTCATACTCATGCCAGACTGGGGAAGATAGACAAGTAATTTAATAGTAACAACCAATGGAAACACTCTGTAGGGCTGATGCTCGTGCTCATGCCAGACTGGGGAAGACAAACAAGTGATTTAATTAGTTAACAACCAATGGAAACACTCTGTAGGGCTGATGTTCATGTCAGACTGGGGAAGACAAACAAGTGATTTAATTAGTTAACAACCAATAGAAACGCTCTGTAGGGCTGATGCTCATGTCAGCCTGGGGAAGATAGACAAGTGATTTAATAGTAAATGGAAACAATCAACCAATGGAAATACTCTGTAGGGCTGATGCTCAAGCTCATGCCAGATCGGGGAACATAAAAAAAGTTTATTACTTTCACCAAGACAGTTATGTTAAGGGGAGCACCTGTCTATTTTTGTGTGAACATGATAATTATGATGATGCATGTAGCCTTACCTCCTCCAGTTTGGCCCCGTCTGTTGTCCGTGTGCGAGACGTGGGGATGTCCTGGAAGCGGCGCAGCAGGGGAACCAGCGGTGCCCGCGTACCGTTAGAGTCAAACCTGTTGTCAGTCACCTGCACATAAAACAAGCCCAGGTAACTTGATTAAGGCCACAGCTAGAAATTTTTATGGATGACAAAATTTTAAGATATAGGAACCTTTTTTGCCCGCTCGCATTAGATTTGGAGTCTGAGGAGGATGTCATCCATAAAATTTACTTGCTGTAGCCTAACTTATACCAAGTGCCAGTTCTGCTGTCACTCAAATCATGTAGGCAGCCCAGAAGCTCCTGTCTTGTATAGCTTTCCCCATGCCATCAGCTTGTAGACCAGTGTCTCTTTTCAGGACAGTCACATATCACCAATATTACCATTAATATTACCACCATGTAAGGAAATTTATATTTGAGAGATGGTTAGATGACTCAAGACTAGATTCCTAGAATGGCCAGGGCTCAAAAGCCTTTTTTCTGCATGTCTGCACTGTTGCAGGTAACTTAGGTAACTACCTTTATTACTCATAATTCATGAAGTATGGGTCACAATAAAAGACTTTAGAATTAGGCTGCAACCAAGTACTTTGTCCCTTAATAAGCAGGAAATAGTCTCAGAGGGTTGAGTTTTAAAATGTTTCAGGGAGAATACTGTGGTCATGTCTTTAGGACTTAATGGACGGCTTACACTGTGGAACATTATCCCTCTGTACCTGACCCCTACTCTGTGAAAAAATCCTGCACAGAACCCTGAAACATCCAAACCTGTTTGTTAGCATTGTCCCACAGCTGTAGCAGCAGCAGCACGGCGCTCAGGAGGTGGTTGAGAGAGCTGCGCTGTACGGCCAGCTCCAGGAGCAGGGCCAGCGCCGTGTGCTGGTCAGACACAGGGATGTTCCCACTACTGCTGCTCGTCTTCCCACCTGCCGCTCCACCGTTAGAGTCCCTGTATGCAAACAGTTAACAGTTACAGGATCCATTAGACACAAGGGTACAGTTTACTGATCTACCCAGCATTCATCTTTGACAGAATTTTGCCTTTTAGGATGGACAAAAATGTGGCCCAATCTGTCATCTTTGGGGCGTAAAGATTACCAAAAGAGATGAAATTAAACTGTGCTTAGTCTACCAGCAAAGTTTGCCCCTGAAAATGCAGTAAATAGCATTTTAGAGGTTCAAGATTTCAAAATTTTCCTGGGGAAGCATGCAACCTAGGATTGTTGTGCCTCAGGCATGATGCCTTGCCTCTTTGGCACTCAAAATGACGTTACATCAAACAAAATTAAGATGACGGCAAAAAATATACAAACTTCATTACACAATCTGGGTTATGAGGGCTATTTTGTAATTGCAAGAATAACAAAATATGATGTAAAAAAAACTGTAATATTTCAAGGGGGCTCAATATTTACCCCATGACCACAGATCTGATGAACTTGGTTGCCCTCTCCACAGCCTCCAGCCACACAGACGACACACTGGACTCATCAAACAGGGTGGCCTCGGGGAGAGTCCGCAGGGCATCCAGGGACTCCTGTAGCAGTTCTGCAACCATAAAGGTAAAACTGTCATCCTCAACTAAGGTGAAGTATGATGCTTTTAAAAGTAGCTTATACTATAGCACTACAGCTTGTCTTCATAGCCATTAGCACACTGGGTCACCCCTATGCAAAGCGAATGCATAATGTTTACCATCACATGGTCTTGCCCAACAAACTACTGCTCTGTTTATTCTAACTCAAATACAATATTCATATATATGGTAACCAGCCCCTCCAGACCACTTGTTACATAATGTAATCCAACACCACAGGGTGTCTGCTGAAGCACCAGTTACCATGGTGACGGATGTCTGCTCCAAGTCATTAACCTTATGTGTTTGGAGAAGAAGAAACAGCAAAAACAATACGTTTTGCTTGACGCCAACTCATGATCATCATCAACACAATCCAACCGTCTCACCAGTACAGAGGTCTGCGTCGTCTCCTGTCCTCCACGCCCGTCTCAGGAAGGCGAAGGCAAAGGACAGCGCCGCTCTGCAGCCCACCCGCGCCAGACCCATGGTCGCCTTCTCATGGGGCTTCAGCACACTGCAGGTTTAACCAGGTTAGGAAATACCATTGGAACAATTTCTTAGTAGATGTACATGGCTGCTGCACTGACTTCACCACAAGGAGGTCAAGTACAATGTACTGTTCATGGCTTGTCTGTCTGTGCATGTGACTGTCTGTCTGTCTGTCTGTCTGTCTCTGTCTGTCTGTGTTTCACTCTGATTTCCAACAAACATAATGCAGTGTTACCAAACATGCAATGTACATTACAAGGCTTCTATTTTTGTTAGTCTTTGTACAGATGCATGGCTTTGGGTAAGAACTATGTCTTCTTGGGTTACAAGACTTGTATAAAATCATGCCTACACCTTTTGGTGTATAGGGACAGATATTAGCTCAAACGTTTCGACAAATTTTTATGATATTGGGTATACGTATACTAATTCTTGGGTTAGAAATTCCAGTTCAAATTTGTTACATATTCATAACTACTTCTATCAACACAGATGAAGTTGCAAGTATGTCTCACACTGACCTCTTAGTTCCTTTAGGTATAACCGCTGCAGACTGTTTGTTGGGGGCTGCAGCCTTCTCGGCGGGGTTGTGCCGTGCCAGAGCGATGAAGTACCGCTGCAGGACAGTGAGGCGCTGCTGCAGGCGGACTGCGGACAGCGTGGTGGCCGCAGCCTGGGAACACAGCTGCTGCTGCTCAAACACCAGCGACTGCAGGCACTCCCGCAGCTGGCAGATGTCTGGGAAACATAAGAAAAATAATCGTGTAAAGCAGAAAGGCTTCAGTCTCTTACCCAGTGGGACTTATTTTGTCTCAGAAGAAATCATCTTTATGTAATGTTGCAAGATTCACAATAACACCAGAGACTGAAGACAAAGATGCACCAGTGTTCTACCCAGCACCCATATTTCTATCATCTGACGGAATTTGCTGCCTCTGATGGACAAAAATTTTGCCCAATCCATCATCATAGATGATTTCTTGTGTAAAGATATGGAAAGAGATGTCATTACTCTAAGCTTAGTTTACCAGCAAAATGCAGAAAATTGAGCTTCAGAGGGTCATATTTCAAAAAAATTCCCGATGGAGCATGCCCCTAGACCCATGTAGGCCTGTCATGCATGAGGTATAATGCCTCACACCTTCAGCAATCAAGATCAAACAAAATTGAGATGACGGAAAATAATTTGAGGCTGGCTAGAATACCGATAAACACCCAGCATTGATTGCTGCTATTACCTGGCTGCTTGCCCCAGGTCCACTGTTCGATGAGGGTGCGTGCTGGTGACGGTCGGCTGTCCTCCTCCTGCTGTAACTCTTTCTCCTGCTGGTCCAGCCGCTGGCACGCTGGACAGTTACAGCCGTTGTTGGGTCCACAGTGGCCGTCACAGCAGCTACAGGCTGTCACCTTCATCCCACAGTAGTACTTTCCTGTCTCTCCTAACGGGAGATGGAGAATAACAGTTGTTTTCAAATGTAACTATGCAAATTAAACTATTCTCTCTCTCTCTCTCTCCCTCTGTCAGTCAGTCTCAACATACTGTTACTTTAACTGTCGAATCTGGATGGTGCAATTGATATAAATAAACTTCCAGCTCAAATTCAAATGCAAAACCTATTCCCATGGGACCTACAAATAACGAGTTTTTCAAACAAAAATTTCAAGTAGGAGATTGAAAATCATACCTCACAGGGTCACATTTTTCTACCCAAAAATTACATACTGCATATTTTCTGCTGTATATATTATATTATATATATATAATATACAGGGCAAATTTTTTATGTGCCAGTTTTTCATGCAAATTTTTCGCACGCAAAAAAACCTGTTCCCCAGTTCAGCCTCATTGTAAAGTCATCACCAGACACATAATATCCCATGAGACAGTCGTAATGACCAATCTAAAGTGAGCAATTACATGTTGTTCTCTGCTTCCAGTTCATTATCTCATATTTCTTCACCATTGTAACTGTGATGAAACCAGTAAAATATAGCTATAATGTCATGCCAAATGCTATAAACATCTATATTTCTGCTTTAATTCATGAGTTTCAAAAAATTCTGTGAAATATATTGCTGCACAATGTGTACCTTTGACGTTGTTCAAAGTTAAACTGATGATCAGAAACAGTTATTATTTCTTTTATACCTGCACAGCTCCTATTTTTCCTGCACTAACCTGCACATATATACCCAGTACATGAACCAGTGCAGGTTAGGTGCAGGTAGACATCAGAAATACCTGCACAGCTCCAATTTTACCTGTACTAATAACCTGCATATGTAGGTGGTATTGCAAGCCCTATTACTAGTATTAGCAACAAAGAATTTTTTGCTTGGGTGGCAAAAGATCTGCTTGGAGATTATTCTTAAAAGAGATCCCTGTCCTTTACACTATCAAACGCACATTAGCCTTGTATAACACAGCCCCCCGTGTACCTGACAGGAATACTAACAGCCTGTCTGCACCACACAGATATTGATCCAGCCCTGCCGGTGGTATTCAACACTCCGTGTGTGTGCTCTTATCATCGTATATGTACATGTAGTCTGGTCAGTCACAAGATGTGCTCACAGAATAATTGCCTGGAGAATCAATATTATAACCCCCACGTTTTATGTAGTCATGTACATTTGTCCAAGTGGTTGTCAAAATCCGGGCTTTTATTTTTATCAGGGCTTTTATTTCTTATATTTATATTTCTAATTGGAGCTCATGCAGGTATTTCTGATGTCGGTCTACTACCAGGGTAGCACCTGACCTAACCTACACTGGTCCACGTACTGGGTTTACATATGAATGAACGTGTATGTATAATGTAGATTTAGCTGTATTGCCTGTAACCACCTACGTATGAAAAGGAAATAATGACAATGGTTTCTAAACAGTTTTTAGTATGATCCATACTTCCTACATTCAGATGTAGATGAAACTTGACTGTTGCAGGTAATTTTCAATTTTACCTGCATCAGTGCAGGTATGTAGAAAAACTATTTCAAGCCCTGATAATGGTACTAGTAGTAGTTCATAATAAAATTTGTGGTTATGCCTTTCATCAATAACCTCAAAAATCATAAAATTATTTGTAATTGTCGATATAAGACCCTTATGTCAGCAGTTTTGCATGGTTACATTTCCATCCTTCAACAGCGATTTGACACTCAGACCACATTGCAATAAACAAACAAACAAACAAACAAACACTGACCCTTCCTGGCAGCAACGCCTGCAGAGTTGATGATTGTGTCGTTGGTTCCCACGGTAACCTCTCCATCCTTCACCAGCTCGTTCCACAGCGAACTTAGACCATCACGGGAGAACGCACACTGGGAGAAGACAACAGACAATCAGTTATTTTGTGTGTAGCATTTGAGGTATCTTTTTAGTGAATGTTCACAAATGCTAGCCTCCTTTGCAGACTTCTTGGAGCAGTGGCATTTATTTTTTGGGGAGCAATTGAAACACAATTTTTTTACATGGGCTAAAGTCTCCTCATGCAGCAGAGGGAGTTATGCCATGTCCAGAGAGTTATCAATATGGCTCTCTAGCTCTCCTCTCTAAACATGGCCATTCCTCCGAAAAGAAAACGCCACTCATACGAGTCATAGAAACAACCATTGCCTTGCTAGAAGCAGTCTGCGCAGGAGGCTACACAAATGCCGTATCTGGGTCAAGAACATAAGAACGTCCTGCGCATATTTTCTTTTTCTACGAATATCTTGTTCAAAGCTCATCTCCAAGCAGATGTTTGGAGAAGCGGCTAGGAAAATGTAATGGTTTAGTGTCCCCAAACATCTGCTTGGAGATTATTCAGAAGCTGCACCATATTATTTATGACAAGTAAGGCCTCTGATAGAGCAACACAAACACACCTGTAGATCACATTGGCACGTTGAGAACTTATCCAAAATTATGAAAGCTTTCATATGGCATAGATTTCTTCCTGTAATAATCCAGGTTTCAAGCTATCTTTCACAAATTATCATATGACGTCCTTGGCAAAGGTAAGAAACCACCCCCCACCCCCTTCGTGCAAATTGCGTACTGGTGTTTACATTCGCAACAGATCACACTGCGCGATGTAATTCTCTCTACAAAGAATGAGAAATTATGAGACTCTGCGCGACATTTGCAGTTCAACGAGGTGTAATTTCCCGTCTACTCGCTCACCTGTAAGTCTGTCTTCAGCCATTTACCGTCCAGTCTGTGCTGGGTGTGCAGGACCGGCCTGTGGTCGGACGACATCGCGAGCGAAACCGGGACGATTTCCACAGAAACACGGAAAAGCTGTTCGTCAGGTGAACATTGCTAGGACCAAAAAGATGCGCAGCGTCCGCTACTAAGTCTAAAATCTACTGTAGGTTAATGGATTGTTCATAAAAGCCGCTTTACATTTTGCGATGTCAGAAAATCGGGGGTACTTTCTTCGGCTAGCAAGGGAAGATGGCGGCTTGGGCGATACCACAGAAATAATAGGTGTGTAAGCTTCGTGAAGTACAAAAATAAGAACGAATACTTTTAGGTTTTACCTAAAGTATTACCTGGAGCTAATGATAAAATGAATTCAGATATTTAAAAATTTCTATCGTATATAAAACTGTTATAACATCTACTTTTTGGTGCATGTTGACAGAGAAATTGGTGTACCTATAGATGGTTTTCTTTCCTGGTTCCCGATAACCTAGTGGTAAAGTCCAACTTGCCTATTCCCAAATGACGTCTTCTAAATAAAGCGTCATCTAGCGACATTATGTTGAACAGTGAGTTAATTACCTCTGTGCATAAGGCTGCTTTCAGACCAGGGTCGTTTGCATAAATAAAATGTTATAAATGAGTTTGCGCCATTTCCAGTTTGTGGATATTTGGTGAAATCATTCAATTTGTGGACGGATTTGATCCAAGATGATCAAGGAATTTACAATATATCGAAAGATCTAACGTTAACAGGTCAAGACCTACCCACCTATACCATGGAGTTAAACCTCCTTGCCTATACCAAACTTCATTCTTGAGTTATGGTGATAAACCACGTTACATATACTGTATAACGTTACATACAAACGCTGCCAAAAATTCTCAATTCTTTATTAAGATACCAAACATAGCAGACAAACATGACATACAATGTTGCCTGAATGGCGTTGATATTTACATGATAAAATGTCAAAATATTATATATTTACAACAACTATAATTTATAAAAACAGTACATTATCTTGTGCCAGACTCTATCTGTACAGTCTGGTTATAGAGTCTGATTGACTGGTGAAGGAAAGAGTTCTGTACATAGTCTTTTAGTACTGGCGAGGGGGATAGAGATAGTGACATAATCATATAACATAATCTTCTCAGGGGAAAGGTAACAGGCTTTTTATGACAATAGCATCCATTTTTTTAGTAAGGAAGATCCTGTCATTAGTGGGAGAATTTGTACAATTACCTGAGGATGATCCTGTCAAGTTTGATATTAACGTTAATAGCCTCCCTGACATATCTGCCTTTGTCTGAATTTGTGTGCGTTTCTTCTTGCACAGCCGCGGGCGATTGTCCTCTGTTTGCCCCCATGATCGACCTTTGCACTGGGCCAGGGTCATTTTCTCTGCTGGGTAAACAGTAGACATTTCTTGGCTTTCCGACAGACACACTCAGACCGTAGGTTTCTTATTATTACAGCAACTTTGACCAACGCATAGAGGTCTTTTTGTACGAGAGGTACCAAAACGTTGCAGTTGACGGTAAGGCACCTATCTCAATGTCAGATCCATAGTTAACGTTAAGGTTATATAATTAGCCTGCAGCTGGTAATCATTCACCACAGGCTAGCCTAGGGGTTTTACCGGCGTAGGGCCTTTCTTTGACAGCCATCCAACCAGACCTGTTACATGGTTCGTGTTCTTTCGTTTTGGTCATTTCTGTATCTTTGAAAGTCTCTTATGTTAAAGGAAGCCAGATTTCGGCCATGCCTTTTTTGGTGGCAGACTGTTCTAGACAATGGATCCGCGGTAGCCTATAGATCTTCCGACTCTCTCGTAAAGCCCCTGTCACACATGGCGTCCCGAACACATAGCCCTGAACTTTGAACTGAACTTTGAACTTTATGCAACCATGGTTAGGACTAATAGGAGTATGTCGGAGTATTTTGGCTAGGTCGGCTGGTGTTCGGCGGTGTCGGCTACTATTCGGCTGCGCTAGCCGAATGTTTCAAAATGTTTAAAACATTGGTTGGTATAGGGAGGTACGGATATGATTGACTGGTGTTCGGCTACATGTCAGCAGATCACTATTTGGCTCAAAATTGGACTCAAGTTCGTTTCTATTCGTATAGAAAGCTAGGCGTGGCCTAAATCTGGTCAGACTGCTCCCGAACGTCAGCCGAATATTAACGTGGTCGGCCGGTGTTCGGGTGCACTCGGGTCGTGGGATGGTCTTGAATGTGTGATAGGCCTAGGGGCTTAAGGTTTGGGGACAACCAGTTGATTGTTTGTGCTTTGTCTGGATGACCTTGTACTTTGGCCTCTGCAGTAATGTAGGAAGGCAGTTTGTTGTTAAGGGCTTTGTATACGAGCCAATACTGCATTGTAGTAATGGCATGATAAACTGGGGATACAGTTTACACCAACATGTATGGGAAACAAGGTAATGAATGAAGCGTTATAATGAACCGTTATCAATTTCTTTCTAGCCAATGCAATATGGCAAAAAAGAACGAAGAACACGACCTTCGTCAGAGGCTAGCAGACCTCAAAGTAAAGACCTCAGTTTTAGAGGTCAAAGAGGTGGACCGGGAGGCCATGACTAAAAAGACCGTACAGCTGATCAACGCGCACGATGACAACGTAACAAGGTTGACCTGTGACCCGATCAAGGTATTGGACCGAGGAAGTTTTGAAACTACGGGGGAAATCAGCGAAAGCCCAGTTGACTTTGGTGAGAGACATTACTGTTTTCCTCCAGTCATAAGAGACAGTGGTAACTGGCGTGTAAAATATAAGATTGTATTGCATTTATAAACAGAAGACTAATTGAGAAAACTGTTGCTACACTTAAAAGCCATGGCCATAGAGAAAGGAAACAGATGTGCGCATTTTAGTGATGTAAAACTAAAAGGACGGGCCTGTTTTCCATTGGGGGTATGGTGTTCAGCACCAAGGACAGTTTGTCTGTGTGCAGATCGTGTTCAGCGCCAAGGACAAGAATGTTTTCCCATGTCAGAATAGCGTTCAGCACCAAAGATAGATTTGTTTTCTCTATGGACACAAGTATATAGAAACAGTATACATGTACCGGATATCAGATTGTAAGAGGATCCGGAAGGGAAGCGTTTAGGTCATGCACTACCACAAATATCAGACATATAGTATGTAATATCAAATCGATTATCAATAGATTTCCCCCATTTTCATGTTTATACAGACTACGTAATGCAGGACTTCAACGACCGTTTGGTGAGAGCCGGAGTTATCCCGGGTCATCCGATGTTCCTAGGTTTTATCCCGTCTGGCCATGGTACATATCCCGCAGCACTGGGCGGTTTTCTTCCGGCAGTCTTCACCACGTACTCGAGTATGTAACTTTTAACGTGTTTAAAAGAGTAGAAGTTGGTCAAATAGAGAGATAAATATGCCAGAAGAATTGTTCCAATTGAGAGTACCGTTTGCATAATTTCCATAGTTTCCATAACCCTAACTCTACATGTTACTCGAAAACTGTACTCTCTAGCGGACCAACTCCCCTGGCATGCATGCACATGGACCAGTTCTTGGCAAAACATATATATATAGAAAAGATAAAAGTTACATCATTTGAAGTCCTGAAAAATCTATAGACATATCATACACATACATCGTCCAAAGACATACATGTATTATTAGAGTGACAGATTGAATAAGCCATCTGGGTCGTGCCCGTTCATTTTGGTCGTTTCTAAATGCTTTTCAGTTGGGACCATGTGTGTGTCTGGTGGTAGACTGTACGTATGTCATTTTTTAAAATTTTCTATCATGAAACAACAGCGGTTCATATGGAGAGCCCAGCAGCTGTGCAGATAGAAAACAGGCTGATCCAATGGGTGGCAGACCTGTTCGGCTACCCCGCAGGGCATGCCGGGAACATTTCATCGGGAGGTTCTCTCGCCACTCTCACGGCGTTAGCTGTCGCACGGGACAGCAGGCAGCTCAAAGCCGCAGACTTTCACAGGTGTGTAAGCCATTACTGTACTTCAAAGTGTATCTGCTATTTATACCAGCTTTTCATGGGATTTTAGATTGGTGTCCTCTCTCCACAGGTGTGTGATCTACTGTAGTGAGTTCACCCACTATGCTGTGCAGAAGGGACTTCGGGCAGTTGGAATGCGGGAGGCCGTTCTGAGGAAAACTTCAGTGGACAAATCGTTCAAGATGTCAACATTGGATCTTGAGAAACAGATCAAGGAAGATAAGGAAGTGAGAGAATTCTATCAAGTCTTTCTTCTTTTTATTCAAGACATGTGCATGTCTGTCTGTTAATGGTTGCACTAGTGCGTTATCGGCCCTACTATTATGTCAATATTGTATTCAACTAAAATTTCTCAAGTTTTGGTACAAATATTAATGTTATATAATTCCCTTTTTTAAAACTTTCTTGTAACCAGGCCGGTTTGCTGCCGTTCCTGGTCGTGGCCACTGTGGGCACCACGCTGACGGGAAGTGTGGATCCTGTGGACGACATCGCTGACGTGTGTGAACGTCACCAGCTCTGGCTGCACGTGGACGCCGCGTACGGAGGGTTCTTCGCTCTCTGTGACGACATGAAACAGCTGTTTGTTGGCGTGGAGCGGAGCGATTCACTTGTGGTGAATCCACACAAAGGTTTGTGCGAAATAATGTACGCGAAACTTTGAAATCCACAAGTCACTATTTGTTTCTTTACATCTTTCTCTGTCTTTTTTTTCAACTTCTCCATTGCAAATTGGATGGGGAGACATAACAAGTGATTGCTCTCCTCTGCTGCTTATTTTGAAGGAGCAGTTTTTTTGCGATGTTGAACATGGGCTACGTGCGGTTGTCAATTACGCACCCATCGAAGGTCTGCTTTCTTTCGGTGAAAACAATCTAGGTTTGCGGCGTTGAGAATCGTTACCCATATTAAACATCGCAAAGCTGCAACCCCTACCCAAATAATATAAACGATGGTCACCACTGCACAGAAGGCTATATCCCACTAGCCTAGATGCCAGACCCATAACACGCTTGGCCGATGAGTACCTGTAGCCAGCGTGCTCCTTGGGGGCATGTTTGCCCTGGAGCCTTCGAGCTAGGTTTTTTGTAGGCCATGGAAACAGGCTAATCGGCGTTACATTCTCAGGGTTATTCATATCCAGTGGTGTAGGAGTTCTTGTGGTGAAAGATGGAGAGAAGCTCCAACAGACCTGCTCCTTGGAACAAACACCCAGCGTGTACACGGGGATGCAGTTCTTTTCAGCTGAACACCTGTCTCCGTGTGAGCTGTCCTTTGAACTGACCAGGTCTTTCAGGTGAGTGTTCCCGGAGGTATTGTTTTGGGTAGGTTTGTGGATGGGTTTGTGTGTATGCAATATCAGACAGATTTCCTCATTCAGAATATTCTTGTTTTGCCGCCCTGAAATTGCACTGAATACCTTTAACAGAAACCTCGGAATACGTGTAGTATTTTGTTGGGCTGTTCCTTGCAGAGGTGCTCAGATGTGGCTTCCGCTGAACGTGTTTGGTGTTGGAGTTTTCCGTGAGGCCCTGGAGGAGAAACTCCTACTGGCACGTTACTTCTACCGGAAACTGAAAGGTACAAAACCGACATTTTGTCTCAGTGTCATACATTGTAGCTATAGCGTGTCATAGCTATAGCGTCCTTTTTTTGGTTCACATGTTTCAGGCACTCTCTGGGAATTGGCGTTTACCCGTTTGGAGTTGGAATATACTTGATTATCTCAGAGTTTATACTGAGCTGACTATAAACTAAAGAGTCGTTCTTTCTCAATGTACAGAAACTGGTGAATTCGAGCTGCCATTGGAGCCGGAGCTGTCCGTGGTGCTGTTCCGTGCTACAGCGCCACCTGACGTCGACATCAACAACTTCAACCAACAGCTCCTGGAGGACCTGCTTTCTGATGGGAAAATCTTCATGACTGCTGCCGTGCTGGGCGACCAGTACTACCTACGTGTCTGTGTCCTGTGTTTCAGGACCCACATTGAGCACATGGATCTATGCTTCTCCTTGATTCGGGAGAAACGTGGTCATCTTTGGGGGTCAGCTCAAAGCAATGCTTAGAACAAGCCAGTGCCAACATGGTAGTCCAGTACTGTCCAGTACTGCTTTGTATTTTAACATTGTTAAATTTGCACTCGAGCTCTTTTGAACTTTATTTCGTTGATATTTAGTATCCTACTAATAAAAGGCAAAATGTAGGTAAACATTTCAACACTGAATCAACATGAAAGGCGCTGCTTCGAATTAGTTACCTATTATGACCTAAATACCGGCGGAAGGTGACAGAACCACTGCCAAACGTTGGACTGATGAAATCGCTGTTTAGAACGTCTACTTTGACTGATGATGATAGCTCTTGAAAAAAAAACGCAGGGTGTGTCTTCAGATTACTCAAACTCAAATGTCAAATCAACCCCCGCCATTCTCTCCCTGTGGATGTCATCCAGGATTTTACTCTGTTCTGAACTGAGCGAGTTTTTCCAGTCTCCCACCCTTCCTGAGGAACGGCATAAACAATGACAATGAAAATAATAAGCTAAGTGTGTCCAGCTTTGAAATCAATTCTAATACAATGTACTAAAATCAAGCTTAAAATTCTATATTTTGCTAGAACTAGATGTAGGACAAAAATCAGGGCCTTCACATACATGTAGACGGGGGACGGGGAATCCCATATTTCCTTTGTGTTAGAAAGTACTTCCTAGATATAAACAAATGGCGCAATATGCAATAAAAACCAAGGGCGAGTCTAAGCCGGTGTGTTACTGTATACCAGCTATACAGATACAGATAAGCGACCACATACCTTTTCGAATGAATTCAAACCCTGCTTTGGTTAGGTCTCTGAACGCTTCAGTTCGAGAAAAGTTTGTAGCATCGTTGTCTCTCATGGCAGAGAAGGTACACATAGCTGTCACCTCATCAATGCGCGGGTCTGACAGAGTCTTGCCCAGAAAATTTGCGATCTTCACCACGTTTCCTCGCAGATCCTTCAAACAAGGGGACGAGAATTCCAATCAGCCTTTGACAGCAAGAGATTGTGTCACAAAGAATTGAGGTGGTCAAAAACTCGTATTTTCCAAGACCTATCAGAGAGAGGAATTCCGGTTGCCACCAAGCACAGTTGGGGCATCATTACTAGAAAGCTTTAAACAACTCCTGCAATTAAATGTGCAAAATGAGATTGGGTGTATCAGGTCATTCTGTGTACTATAGCTAGCTAGCTGCCGCGCGCCTGCGAAGGGCGGTTATACCGGCTATACGGATACAGATACAGACATGAGGTAGGAGAAACTACATGATCATGCCTAACAACAGGGCCTCTCTGTAACCTCCCTTTGCATAATAAAATAATAAATAACGTGGATCTTACCTCCTTCAGGTCCTCAAATTTGAGGAAGAGCATGTTTTTGTCATCCTTGTGACGCCAGTATTCCGAGATCACGTCCCACCAGAAACCGAAGGCAGCTGTTGAAGATGTTTGAAACATCAAATTAAGTCAATGGCCTGGACCAAACGTCTGTCAGCATAGTAACTGATGCTGTAGCAGACACCCTGTGGTGCTGGGTTACATTATGTAACAATTACAAGTAGCAGGGCAGAGTTGGAGGGACTGGTAACCATATCTTATAAATCTGGGTCGTCATCGACAATGACAGTTTGTTAGGGAAGACCATGCAAATATTACATTTCCATTATTCGTATCTATGATTCTGTCCTTACAAAATATTGTTGATATACCTGTACAAAATGAAGGTCAGGACCGGACTTAAGAAATTTACCTTGTTCGGGATTAATGAATTCTTGGAAGTTTTCGTCAAACGTTCCACAAGGAAGATGCTCGAAGCCCTCCCTCATCTTGTGCAAAGACACCACCACGTCTTTCACATTCCTCGCGCAGTAGATGATCTGGAAAAAAGTATCATTTTTTATATGTATTTTGATGAAAAATGGCAAACTAGGTAATTTTTTGCTGGAGAGATGTTTTCATAATATTCATGACGTTTCAATGACCATGTGTAACATGTCCTTACATGTAACCTTTACTGAATATCGGAAGGTTTCATTTTTAAACGTAAGGACACAGCCACCGTAGTCTCTACCATGCTTTGGGAACCCACTAGGATCCACTAGCGCTAGAGGACTTGGTTCGCTAAATAGAAGAGTTTGCCGCAAACTGTACTGCATGTCTGGAGGACCAACCTGCAGCTGGCATGTTATCTGTCTATTTGGCAAATTTCTACTCATCCCTGGTAGAGACTACGGCTACTGTACAAACCTTCCCCTTCCCCTCCCTCGCCTGTTTAGGTAACAGGTGATACGGCATGTGGGTCTTCATGAGGCGGGGGGAGGGGGCGTCTCTCAGCACTTTGGGCAGCGGCTCCCGGGACCCCGTCCGGTCCATTATCTCCAGCCATGGCACCCGGACAAATATCGGGATCTTGTTCACTTCGCTCAGATCGCCCTCAGTAGACAGTAGAGACACGATCTGTTGTACCCATGTTGTGCCTGGACTCATAAAAGAAGACATACAAAAGTTATAAAGTGTACTCTCCGAGCAGAGGTTTATGCTAAGGTTTGTTTCTGGTGTGCTTTTTGGTGTTTTTATCTGGCTCTCTTTTTTTCGTACTAATTGATTAACAAACGACTACCCCTACGTCTAAAAAAGGTTTTAGGACATGTACCGTCAAGCCCAGGTCCTACATAGCCGAATATGGCCTTCCGAACGTTAGCCGAACTCCCTCAACCATGGTTAGAAGTAGGTCGGAAGCAAGGTCGGCTGGCGTTCGGCTGGGTCGGCTACTGTTTGACTGCGCCGAATGTTTCAAAATGTTAAAAACATCATTCGGGTGTGTACAAAAGGTTGGGCCATGGTTGGCTGGTGTTTGGTAGTAGGTCGGGGAGTGGTTGGCAGTCAAATTTCACTCAAATTTGATTCGATTCGTATAAAAAGGTAGGCCTGACCTAAATCTGATCCGACTGTCCCCGAAATTCAGCCAACCTTGGTCGGCTGATGTTTAGGGGAAGGTTCTGAATGTGTGACAGGTAAGTTACTTATTACGTTTCACCTCATACTAAACTTTAGCAGATTAAAGGCCTTACCTGACTTGACGTACGCTGACACGAAAACGTCGTCGTCTCTCACTTCAAATGACTCCACTAGTTCCACCGCGCGATGGTCGCGCGATGGAAGAACCTCACGCCTTTTTATGAAAAGGCGAGCCAAAGGTTGGATGGGCAATGTTGATGCTCATACTGGTTGCTTCTGGACGCCGGTAAAGAATGGTATCTCTTCCATATGCTAGTTATTTATATACATTGTAGTAAAATTTCCCTCGTCACAAAACGTCAGCAACAGAACGAGACCTGTGCTCGCTTGCGATCCGACGTTTGAGTAATTATTAACCTTACGGTCACATGAAAGCTAATTGTGTCAAGACGTATATAGACTTACTAGTGTATAAAAACGCTGTATTGAGTGAAGAATAGAATGAATAAACTTATTATTAATTATAATAAGTTTTATTTTCAATAATCAACAAGCATGTAGCAGTGCTGTAAAACGAAAACGCTGAATTGCGCACTTATTAGGCCTTAACAACATCCAACAGGTTAAACAAACAGAGCGTAGTGACAGATTACATGCACATATTGACTTAACACAATTAAAACAAAACATCTGCTGAGATGCCAAACGTCCTGAATGTATGTAATGTATAATGTTCACAACGACTGCTGACAATTGTAGACATATCATCAACAGCAAAATGTTGCCAGTATCCTAACATATTAGACCACACCGCGTGCTGCATGTAATGATGGCGTCACCGACTAACGTTCTAACCTCGACGTAAACTGACTTTATTCCTGTGGGCAAGTCTTTCAGGGGCTCCATTTTTCTACATTTAGGTATTGCACTCATGTTTTGGCCTTCATTTGCCGTTGACCGTGATTAGAGACAGGGTATCTATTGATCAAGGATATCAAAAATCATCCAAAGGTTCAGCTCAGTCTACCAGGCTTCAGAGGTGGGTGGAAGACCGAAGAGCAGATAGGCCAAATACTAGTAGACTAGACAGTTTGCCTTTTTAATAGCAAGAGACAAACTGTACTCCTTTCAAGGAAAAACTCCCCTGGCATGTTATCTGTCTATTTCGACAATCTCTACTCTTTCCAGTGGTCTCTGAAATCTGGCAGAGGCTACAAGAGAAAACCTTGTTGTCAGGGTTAGGGTTGACTCGCATGGGGGCTCTCATAATTTTCCCGCCACTCCGTCCAAATGGTAACCTTTGACCCGCATTTCCCGCCATCCTCCAGTGAAACCCGCCACTTTGGAGTTTGGTTCGTCTCGAAAGATTGTAGATTTACAGGTAAGGTTTAAATCTATATTGCATGCAGCTTAGTAATCATACTCTTTAAATCCTACGTCTTCGGCGTAAATAACAGCCAGATCACTTATTCGTCTTAGATCTTCGCCTCTGACTTTGAATGAACGGGAGGTGGGGAGGGGGGCGATTGCTGATCCACTATGCACGTGTACCGGTGTTTTCATTTCATTGAATACAGCTCATCAATCATTAACCTGTTTAAAACCCAGTTCACTTCAGAAGCTATTTGTACAGACCCAAGGGGAATTTCAGGGTCAACAGAATGATATTTTGTTCGAACAAGGACATACTGGATTGGAACAATGTATAATCCAGTAAATTAAACGTAAAAGTCATGAAGCTGGAATATCTGGTATAATCCTGTACATTACCGAATGTTGGTTGTTTCACACACAGTTTTGTTGTCCATTAGTGATACAAAATTGTATAGCAATCTTCCTGGAATCTTTGTTTACAATACAATACACAGCGATACACACACACACAACTACATAGCAATACACACTCACACACACACACACACATAGCGATACACATTCACATACAATACATATCAATAATACACGTTCACACAGCAATACAATACAATACAAAGAAAATATATTACAATATCTCACATGAACTGTTGTCCTGTGAACTGTAGTCCATATTGTCAGGTGTAACATGCAGTCCAGGTGTACTTTCAAAACAGCTCAATTCAATGTACAAACCAAATATACACAGAAAATTGAAAATTTGAACTCTAACTAACTATACTTTCAAACTTCTCCCCAGGTTGAATCATGGCAATCACACGTTATTACCAGACCCCGGCCCTCAACCCAGGGGCACACGAGGTCACGTGTAAAAAGTTACAGACCATCCTCGGCTCCAAGAAGATCGGAGCAGTGACCACTGAGAACTGTTTCAACATCTGTGTGGACGACGGGAAAGACTTGACCGCTGAGGAGCAGAAGAAACTATTATGGGTCATCACGACTCCGTTTGAGGGGGAGAAGACGAGCCGGGAATCTTTCCTCGGCAGGGACGGGGAGAAGGGCCTCCTGATTGAGATTGGACCAAGGTAGGGCGCTATACTACTTAACCTGTACATTTTGTACCTGTAAAATTATTTTGGTAGATACAGGTCTGGACCTTAACATCTGATATACTCAGAGCTCAAAATACCCCCAGCTGCATTTGCAGGTTAGTGCTAGTAAAATTAGAGCTGTACAGGTATTTCTGATGTCTACTTGCACTGGTCCATGTACTTGACTTATACACAAATGTAGGTGTATTAAAAAATTTTGACTGTCACCACCTATAAAGTGTAAAAGAAATAATGGCAATGGTTTCTGAACAGTTTGTAGTATGATCCATACTCTGAGTGGTACATGTAAAAGTTGTCTGGTGCAGGTAATTTTCATTATATTAGATGTACAGTCCAAATGATGTTGAAAATCTTAGTTGCGATAAGTCATCATCTAATCTGTTTTCTTCCAGGTTAAATTTCTCCACTGCCTTTTCCACTAACGCCGTCTCCATCTGCCATGCGGTGGGGCTGAAACAGATCTCACGTATCGAGGTCTTCCGTCGCTTCCTCGTCCAGTCAGCTGACGGCTCTTCTCCAATCACGGCGGAGGAGGAGAGGAGGATGCTGGGAGCCCTCCATGACAGGATGACAGAGTGTCGCTACACGGAGCCGGTGTCCAGTTTTGAGCTGGACGTGAAGCCGGACCCGTGGTATGAGGTGGACGTGATGAGTGGAGGGAAGAAGGCACTGATGAAGGCTAACACTGAGCTGGGTAGGAAAATTTTTCATCACTACATGTCAGGGTAGAGACTCCGATCTTGTAGAATTGCATGGTATAATGATTCTACTGGTAGGGGTCCAAATCGGAGTCTCTGTTAACCAAAACTCCAATCTGAGTATCTGCCAGTAGAGGTCCTGATTGGAGTCTCTGCTATGATTAGAGCCTCTGACAATCTGTGATTCATGTTTTTATGACAAGCAGAGACTATTTATAAATGATATTGGTAGCTACAAGTAATACGATTGAATGTGGAATTTTTTTTTTAAGGAAATCATACTCTGTAGATTCATTTATTGCTTTTCCTTGCAAATAACTGTTGTTAATACTAATCCTTCATATAAATTTTCTGGCAGGTCTTGCCTTCGATGACTGGGACCTGGAATATTACACTAACATGTTCCGAGACCAGCTGGGAAGGAACCCTACGAGTGTGGAGTGTTTCGACTTGGCACAGTCCAACAGGTGACATTTAACACCTATGTTTTTAAGATTCTGAAGTAGAGTAGGTATGTCTGGATGGGTGTGTGGATGGATGGATGGATGGATGGATGGGTTGATGGGTGTGTGTGTGTGTGTGTGTGTGTTGGTGAATGGATGGATGGATGGATGGATGGATGGGTGGGTGGATGGATGGATGGACGGACGGATTGTAACAGCTAGTCATTTTTCAATCCGCTAACCTGGATGGAAAAAAATATTTCTGTCTCTGTACCTTACAGTGAGCACAGCCGACACTGGTTCTTCAAAGGAAAGATGGTTATAGATGGGAAGGAACATGAGGACTCACTCTTTAAGATGGTGATGAAGACTCAGGAACACAGCAACGATAACAACGTTATCAAGTTCAGTGACAACAGCAGGTAAAGTAACTAATACCCTGTATATACCTGTCCAATAACAGTCTCATTTTCACAAAGAAGGCTATTCTAGTCTCTGGTTGTCCATCGTCTCCGATGATGACTTCTGTGCACAGCCCGTCAGGTGGGGTGGATCCTCTGGTGACTTCTTAGCCCAAAGGCTGAGGCACACAGCTTCCCGCACCTGCTGCACTGGTATTCTGTAGTACTAGTAGTTTTTGTTGTCCTATGACGCTTCTCCCTCACAACTTCGAGGCGTCTCCTCCTTTCCTCCTCGAACGCAGATGTGGCCTTTGTCACAAGAGCCCTCCAGGCTGGCCGATCAGCGGCAGCTGCCTCAAACTCGGATGGCTTGATACCACACCACTGAAGGTTGTTCTTAAGTACATCTTTGTACCTCAGTTTTGGCCTACCCCTACGGCGGGAGCCCAGCTTGAGCTCTCCGTACAACAACTGTCTGGGGATACGGCTATCATCCATCCTGCTGACGTGACCAGACCAACGTAGTTGAGCCTTCAGTAGCAATGCCTCAATGCTTGATGATTGGGCTCTGTCCAATACTTCCTGGTTAGTGATTTTATCCTGCCAGCGGATGTTCATAATGGTGCGCAATGACCTCATGTGGAATTTTTCCAGCTGCTTTATGTGCCGACGATACAGTGTCCACGTTTCACATCCATAGAGCAGTGTTGAGATCACTACGGCATTGTAGATTTTAAGCTTTGTGGACAGTTTCACTCCTCTTTGCTGAAGTACCTTGGCCCTCAGCCTTCCCAATGCCTGACTGGCTTTCCGGATTCTGCATGAGATTTCTTTGTCCAGCGAACCGTCTGCTGAAACTGTGCTACCCAGGTAAGTAAAGTGTTCCTTGTTTTGCAGCACAACAGAATCAATTTTGATACTAGGCGCAGGTAGAATTGTGTTTGGTGCTGGTTGCACTAACACCTCGGTTTTGCCAAGGCTGATTGTCAAACCAAAGAGCTTTGAAGCTGCGGCAAAACGGTCAGTAATGAGTTGTAGGTGGTTCTCCATGTGCGCCAAGAGAGCGCAGTCGTCTGCAAACAAGGCTTCTAGTATGAGCCTTTCCACAGTCTTTGTTCGGGCTTGCAGGCGGCGTAGGTCAAAGACTGATCCGTCTGAACGGTATTTGATGTATACCCCAAGGTCAAGATCTTTCACAGCGTGCAGAAGGACTTGTGTGAAGAACAAGTTGAACAACACTGGTGCGAGCACGCACCCTTGCTTTACACCTGTGGTGATATTGAAGGGTTTGGAGAAGTCCCCACCAATCAACACCTGTGCTGTCATGTTGTCGTGGAATAGCCTCACTAGCGTGGTGAATTTTTTAGGACACCCCAGTTTGGTAAGGATAGTCCATAGTGCTTCTCTGTTAATGCTATCAAAAGCTTTGGTCAGGTCGATGAACACAGCGAAGAGGTCCTTTCGCTGTTCAATGCACTTTTCTTGGACTTGCCGCAGAGCAAACACCATGTCCGTGGTGCTGCGACCTGGGCGAAACCCGCATTGTGCCTCAGGAAGGTTGCTCTCGGAGACATTGCTGATCAGTCTGTTAAGAAGGATACGGGCAAGGATTTTTCCGGCAATGGAGAGCAAAGATATTCCTCTATAGTTGCCACAATCTGATTTCTGTCCTTTGTTTTTGTACAGTGCTATGATTGTAGCATCTCTGAGGTCTGATGGCATGCATTCCGTCTCCCAGATGGTAAGAAGAAGGTCATGGAAGGCTTGGAAAGCAGTTTCACCCATAGACTTGTACAGTTCTGCTGGGATTCCGTCTTTTCCTGGTGCCTTTCCATTGTTCATCTGTCTGATGGCAGTCTTCACTTCCTCCTCAGTGGGGGGTAGGTCCAGGTTTTCCTGGATATTCCTCTGAGGGACTTGTTGAAGTGCTGCCTCGTCAACTGGAGAAGGTCGATTTAGGAGGTTGGTGAAGTGTTCTTCCCACCTGGCACTAATTCCTTCTTTGTCCTTGATGACAGTTTGACCATCAGCTGACATTAGGGGTGCAGTTTTCCCACTTTGGGGGCCATATATGGCTTTTGTGGCAGCAAACAGCATTTTTGAATTGTTTGAGTCTGCATAGTGTTGTATTTCGGCAGCTTTCTGTTCCCACCATTCGTTTTGCATGGCTCGAAGCTGTTTTTGTACTCTAGCCTTCACCATTTTATACTTGTCGTGACGAGGAGTGCTTGGGCAGTTTTGCCATTCAGTGTAGGCTTTTCTCTTTTCGTTTAGGAGGACTTGGATGCTTTCATCATTCTCGTCAAACCAGTCTTGGTGGTGACGAGTCTTGGGCCCTAGTACTGACTTTGCTGTTGCTGTGATGCACTCTTTAAGGCGGTTCCATTTTTCCTCTGGGCCGCCATCCAGAGTTCCCATCTTTGCTATCTTGCTGTCAAGTTTAGTTTGAAACTCCTGTAGATGTTCATCTGATTGGAGTTTAGCAATGTTGAATCATGAGGACAGGATCCATTTATGTCCTTATAAATTATGTATATGAAGTCCTGATTTGAATAACTTTGAAATGTTGCAAGTGTGAAATTTACTTCCCGTCTCCAGTGCTATCCAGGGTTACCAGGTCCCAGTGCTCCAGCCCGGCCAGACGTCTGTGTCCAGTAGTTTTCAGGACAGGTCGGCACTGCGACATGTCATCTTCACAGCAGAGACACACAACTTCCCTACAGGTGGGGCAGGCCAGGTTCTTTCCTCAAGAAACAGTTCATTCATTTGTCTTAAGTGTTTTTAAATAGAAATTCTGAGTGGCCAGTGTCTGTTACGACACCACAGGTATGGCTATTGTCCTTTTCTTTATTTCTATTTCTAACATTTTCTAAACGTATACAATAGGTGTAATGTCCTGCTATGTGAGTTTTCATGAAGTAGCTATTCTGTCATTGTTTCATTCTTTTAGCTGCATGTTATTCTCCTACTCTTTTCGATATCATGCGCGAAGTGTGGCTATCCTCAAACACGGAGCCTCTGGCTTTCAAGAGGACGTGCCTAACTGAAGCTAAATGTACTCATTTTCTCCAACTCCAAGTCAATTGAGGAAAAGGGCGGTTCCCAAGAACAGTGGGGCCTGCCAGTGATTTGAACCCGGAACCTTCAGATTCTAAGTGAACAACCCTAACCACCTTGTGTCCCCTAGGTGTGGCTCCGTTCCCAGGTGCGACCACAGGTACAGGTGGGAGGATCCGGGATGTCCAGGCAGCAGGACAGGGTGCCCATGTGGTGGCAGGGACGGCTGGCTACAGCTTTGGCAACCTCTCTATACAAGGTATCGTCTAGAGTTTTAATTTGTGTCTGTTTCTGTAACTTTCTCCACGCCAAGATGTTCTTTTGGCATCACATTTTTGTCAGCTACGAGATTAAGTAGCAAAGAGTAAGTAGCGTCTCATAGCTACACTCACATCCATCAAAACTGAAATGCAAAATAATGCAAATATTTGACGCTCACATGCAGCCACTTTCTCATTGGTCAAACTGCTAATTAACATCCTCTCATTGGTTGAACTGCTATTTGTGACTGACAGACATCTCTATTGAGGAACAGCATTGTTAACCTCTCTGTATACAAGGTACTATATTCTCAAAGCAAAGTTTATCAAAATCAACATAGCAGTCATGTGCATAATATATTACTGAATTACGGTAACAGTGTCATTTTAAAAACATGAGCTGATTAAAGACGGTGAATGCTGTCTGGAAGCTTCTCGTGCATGTCAGTTAGAATCCTTTTTACTTGGAAAATAACCTTTTCCCTTGGAACCTTTCACCAGGTTATGACCTACCATGGGAGGACAAGTCCTTTGAGTATCCTAGCAACATGGCCACACCCGTTGACATCTGTATAGAAGCCAGTAACGGTGCTTCTGACTATGGGAACAAGTTTGGAGAACCGGTCCTGACTGGGTTTGCTCGGTCCTTTGGTAAGTACAGTTTCTGCTCTGTTTGTTCTTCTTCTCCAACATGGCCCAGACGCCTGTCGCCATGGTAACTGGTACTGTAGTAGACTCCCTGTAGTGTCATTATGTAGCCAGTTGGAAGGGCTGGTCATCACATATATTAAGAAAGAAGAAACAGAGCAGATATTTCTTAGGCTAGACCATGAGAAGGTAAACATGAATTTGCTTTGCCCATGTTACCTTTCTAGTTTCTTTATAGTTCATATTTTATTGTTGATAATGATGATGATGAATGATGAATGTTTGGGATAAAATCACTCACAGCTTGGCTGAATTGTGGATTCACGATCATCAAAAGTAACATAACATTACAATTATCATATATCAAGTCATCACTATGATTTCACTTTGAACTTTTTCCCTGCAGGAATGAGACTGGCTGACGGAGAACGGAAAGAATGGGTGAAACCAATCATGTTTAGTGGGGGGATAGGTCAGCTGGAGGGATGTCACATCACTAAGGACCAGCCAGCTGTGGGTGAGTGAGGGGAATTGGGAAAGTTCATTTTTTGAAGGTCTTCACTCTGCTTTTGTCCTTTGTATTATTCCCTGCAAAAAATAGAATAATTTGCATGTACATGTACATTTGTGTATTGTTCATTTTACTTGTCTGGGAGACAGAGCTAGGGGAATTTTCACAGTACAATCATGAACCTGTAAATATGTAGCTTGTCTATCACGACAAGTGGAAAATAAGATTAGTTCTTCAGCGAGCTAAAATGGTTCGAGATCACAATCACAGCTGTAACCATGTAAACTGGTGCTGTAACAGACACCCTGTTGTGTTGGATCACATTATGTAGCAAGTGGCAGGACAGAGTGGGCTGGTCATATACATGAATGTGTTTGAGTAAGAATTAACAGAGCAGTAGTTTGTTAGGCTAGACAATGTGAAGGTAAACATTGTGTTTTTGCTTTGCAAATTACCTTTCTACTTGCCCTTTTGTTAACGACACTTCTTCCTTCCCCCTCAGGTATGGAGGTGGTTAAACTGGGTGGTCCTGTGTACCGGATCGGTGTGGGCGGTGGCGCCGCCTCCTCAGTCATCGCGGGGGAGAACAAGGAAGAGCTGGACTTCGGCGCGGTGCAGCGGGGAGACGCGGAGATGGAGCAGAAACTGAACCGCGTGATCCGGGCGTGTATCGAGATGGCGGAGAAGAACCCCATCCGGAGTATCCACGACCAGGGCGCAGGGGGGAATGGTTAGTAGTTGTGTGACTTTTTTTGTTTTTGTTTTTTATTTGCACAGAGCAGTACACAAAAAAAGTACAAATGTAGAAAAGAGCATAAATGTGGGGTTTGCAGAAGATTGATTGACCAATATGGTGTATATGGGGACTTCTCTGTGACTTGTGATCATGCATGGATTTTCTTTGAAGAGTTGGTAACTAAAACAACTAAATGCTAGCAAATAACAGAAAAAAAATCAACTTTTGTTGACTTCATTTCTCTTATTGTAGCATTTGGCGCTATCATTAGGGAATGTCTAGGCCTCTTTTTTTTTTCCTTGTCCCTTCATATTTGTTCTGAAAAAACGTCTTAAATTGGCTTGACCTAATGAGAGGAAAATTCATGTAACTCTTCTGCATGTCCATTTCCTCAGGAAACGTGTTGAAGGAGATAGTTGAGCCGGCTGGTGCTGTGATCCGTACGAGTGAGTTCCAGCTGGGAGATCCCACCATCAGTGTGATGGAGCTGTGGGGGGCGGAGTACCAGGAGAGTAACGCTGTCCTGGTCAGGTCTGCGGACGCTGGCACACTGAGGGACATCTGCACCAGGGAGAAATGTCCTGTAGCATTTGTCGGGGAGGTCACAGGAGATGGGAAGGTGGGTTAATTTTGTTCTTTCACAGAAGAAAAATTATTGTTTTGGTCCATTTCTTCATCTGTTCCTAACAAATAAGATCAGTGACCGGGACTAGATGTCACCATAGTAACTGGTGCTGTAGCAGACACCATGTGGCATTTTGGGGGCTGGTCACCATGCTTATGAATGTGTTTGAGTAAGAATAAACAGAGCTATAGTTTGTCATGCTACACCATCTTACATACATGACTTTTATTACGCAACAATGTACAAGGTACAAAGTATGGCAGAAATGAGAGAACAAATCTAACAAATCAGTCTACGTAGTACAATACTAGGTGATATGGGATGGAAAGGCGCTTATACAATCATTAAAAGAATTTCTTACGTTTAGACATTCTTTAAAATACTGTCCTATATTCACAATGTATGGATTGTCAAAAGTCAACAAGTATCTGAATTTGCTAGATGAATTCATGGCGAGAAATTCTGGTATAGAAGTTGATAAAAGACTACATGCATTACAGTGCATGGAATTTTGCTAGCTTTGCAGTCTTTTAGGATTATAGTAGGAAGTCCCATCAAAGTAATCATCCCTGAAAAAAATCAGTTCACCAGCACTGTAATCAAATGACGTCTACAAATGTTTGTTGTATGTATCATGTTTCTAAATATTGTCCACTCTTTTCCCCTTCATAAGATTGTACTGGAGGAGTCAGAAGCAGACTGCCCCGGGGAGGAGAAACCAGCCAAGCGTCAGCGGGGAGGCAGGAGACCTGTGGACCTGGACTTGGAGTGTGTGCTGGGATCCATGCCCAGGAAGGTGTGTTTGTTTGCTTGTTTGTTTGTTTGTTTAGTTTATTGGGATCTCCAGTGGGTATTACAGACATGTCTATTCTTCCTTAGGCCATGTTGATTTGATTATATGGATGACATCCGCGCGCGCATGAATTTTCGGCCGTTTCCAAAAAAAAAAGTTTTCAACCATACTGTAAATCGTACAAAACAGTTGCAAAATGAGCAAAAATATAACATAAGTTACAAAAACAATTAATAAAAACTATACCAATGTCGTAGAATGCCAAAATCAAACGACAAAAGACGAAATTGTAAAGAAATGAACTTGAAGACTAGATTATTCGCCAAACCATATTCTGTGCCATTTGCTCAACCCTCATGACCTCGTAGATTTCATAATGAAAAGAACTTTTTTTTTTGCAAAACTTTTTTTTTATTCGCACGCGCGCATCAGTTTTGGGGCTTCCGGAGGATGTCATCCATATAATCAAATCAACATGGCCTTATGTGGCATCTAATGGCCGGTGTGGCTAGGCTAGTGGACACAATATTGAGAGATCATGGGTTCGATCCCTGGCATTGCTGGCTAGGTGTTGTGTCCTAGGGAAACACAACTTTTCCCACTCACCCCAGGTGCAAAACAGGTACCTGACTTTGATTGGGGAGGTAATATAAAATACAGTGGAAGGATGGGCTCCAAATTACAATACCGTGTCCCAGACACAGTGGACTAACAACCCACTGTACCTACTGCCTCAAAAAGGCTATAGAACTACCTTTACCTTTTACCTTTACCTCTATTCTTCCTAGTCCTACTTACTGATATAAAAAGCAAATATCAAATCAGAAAACAATACCTGCTCCATACAAAATTGCATGTAGTTGAGAATTCCAGATATGAACATTGCTTACATGGTAATTGGTAAGTATTTGCAATAGAGCTTTGCACCCAAACAGATTTTATTCATCATCAGACAGCAGTTGATACAACCTGTCTTCTCCCTCCTGTTGTAGACGTTTAACTTTGACACCATCGCTCCAAATCTCACCCCCCTGTCCCTGCCTGATGGACTCGGTATACGGGAAGCGTTGGAACGTGTGCTCCGCTTGCCGTCTGTAGCCAGCAAGAGATATCTCACCAACAAGGTAAACATCTGTTTTTCTTCTCAAGTTCATCTCTGTTGGTACAAGTCATTATGAAATAAAGACTATACTGCCAACACTGGAATGAATTGGGACATACCCAATTTATTGTTACTTTGTGTAAGTCCCAATTCATTTCAGTGTTGGCAGATACAGTGTAGTATTTCATCATGTTGTTCTTCGCGATAGATTTGGCTGATATACAGCTAAATACGCCAACTAGTTAAAGGTGCCCAAAGCAGAAAATAAAGGACTCATCTTGGGCCTCGTTTCTGCACTGTTTTATATGCTTTAAGGATGACATACTGATGCTGAATGTGTAATAACTTAGCAGATGTCCATTTCAGCACCAAGGACAGATGTATTTTGAAAATAGTTGTCTCAACATGTGCTCATGTTTCCAGGTTGACAGGTCGGTGACAGGCCTGGTTGCCCAGCAACAGTGCGTAGGCCCGCTCCACACTCCCCTGGCCGACGTCGCTGTCACGGCGCTCTCCCACTTCAGCACGGTCGGCTCGGCAACGGCGATAGGGGAACAGCCAATCAAAGGGCTGCTGGACCCGGCTGCCGGGGCCAGGATGTCTGTCGGTGAGGCGCTCACTAACCTGGTGTTCGCCCGGGTCACTGACCTCAAGGTACGTGAAGTTTTTGTATATGTTTGTACTTGTGTATACTATATTAGTAATATGTTATGTATGTACTGTATATCTCTCTGTATACTATGTATACATGTATGTATGTTTTGCATGGATCCGCTGAAATGCAGTGCTATTATTTCAGACCCTCAATCAATTTTCGACCTAAAAAACTGCACAACCCTAGTTGCAGAAGGACTGGGGTGTGCACCACTCGTACTATGACACTGAGGTGGGCCTCCCTGGAGAAATAAGGCAGACAATGAAATGTGCACACACTATTTTTAATTTCATCAAGCCAAGGCTACAAGCTATCCATGTTTCTTTACCATATTTTGTATGTGCATTTAATATATTTAGATACAATGTACTTCTTGACTTGCAAGAGAAGTGATTAAACATTTTTTAACCTAATCTTCTTACGTATCCACAATATTTTGAATTTATTTTTGCCATGACTTTTTCCCTAGCACAAAAGCTATATAAACCATACAAAATTTGTGGCCCTAGCCTGGCCAGACCAAAAATGGTAGTTCTGCTACAGTACTATAACAAGCCATAATTAGGCCTAAAATCTAATCATTTTGAGGTGTAAATACACATGTCAACGACAATCCAAGCAGTCTGGAGTAATCATATTAATTTTACAGACCAACACATGAATGCTGCCAAAGATAAAACTGTATACTGTATATAATATATGCAGTACATTTCGAGGTTGTACATAATGTAAGTGTGTATAGTCCAATTTGTAAAATTCCTTATTTTGTACAACAAAACACAAAACTCTTGTGTAATAAAAATGCTATTTCAAGTTTCACACCATAAAATGACAAACTACATACATTACATTAACTAATCTTTACTAGCAGTTGATTATTTTATAATTACATCACAGTCAGGTTTAAATATTGGCTAGTAATTGTTATTGGTAACAAAAAACATTTAGTATTCATCATTTATACCACAGTCTGACTTACTAGTACACAATAACTGTTAATAACAGCTTCTACAGGCTGTTGTTCTTCCTCAGTACCATCAGGCAATGGAATGAACTTGACCCTGGTGTGGTGGATGTGGGGTCAAGGTGCATCAAGGTCAAGTTATCTTGCACAGGTGCATTGAGCCACCTCAAGATGTCTTGTATATACATTGTATATTATGTACATTACCATTAACTCACAAAATTTACTTATCTTGTCCTTAACACACACAAAACCAGTTACATGTATATGTTCTCTACCATATTCCGTCATATTACATGTATCCTTGCAATCTGCTAATAAACCCAGCAATGGGATTTCAGCAGTAAGGAAGAAATATCATAGTTAATCCATTTTGGCAGGTGTATAGTTCTAGTTTCTCCATTTATATGGTCATACAAGACGTAGTTTTAAGTATGTACACAAAGAGGACATTAATTTTTTTAGAATGGTTGTTCTATATTTTCTGCCAACTTCTAGTCTTGAGGGTCCTGTTTTATATTTTTAATAATTTAGTCTTTAGAAATGCTGATTACTAGTATGTTTTTTTCTTTAGTGATTGGTAGTAGTGTGAGGTGCCATGGGCACCAGTTGGCCCACCATTGTTCCTGTTACTGGGAGGGGGAAGTGGGGGAAGCTCATCACCGGGAGCTCTGTTTCTGTTGGGCACAAGGGACTGATATTCATGAGGTTGCTGTATCAGACCTGCAGCGTTAGGACTTGTGCTAACGTTCCTTGGGGGCATTACAACGTCTTCGTACTCAATGTCTTGAGAGTCAGGGCACCCCGGGATTTTTTCTGAGCTTCTGGCATTCTTCAAGGAGTCACTTGTGGACTGGACCCCACACTGCTCTGTCTTATCATGCTCACTGATTGTGACATTAGCTAAGGTATTACTGAAAACAACTGGAGGGGTTTGGTCTGAAGAAGGCTTCTGTCTCTTCCTCTTGTGCCAGATTGCAAAAACCATGGCACAAATGAGGACAGTACCTACTACTGAGGCACACACAGAGCCAATGAAAACAGGTACAGATATGCAGAAAGCAGGAACAGATTCATGGTAAATCGAATTGCTTTCTGACTTGCTGTTCATACTCATAGTAAGAGGGGAAGTTACTGGTGCCACTGTAACAGTACCAGTTGTGGTCGCAGTCATGGTCGCTTTCAGATTCACAACCAGTGTGGCAGATGTTGAGCCAACAGGACTTGCTGCAGTGCCAACGAAAACAGATTCATGGTAACTCGAACTGCTTTCTGGTTTGCTGTTCGTAGTAAGTGGGTAAGTTACTGGTGCCACAGGACCAGTTGTGGTCGCTTTCGGTTCAACATTCACAACCAGTATGGCACATGTTGATCCATCTAGACTTGCTGCAACACAGACATACAAACCAGCATCTGCTGCAGTAACATTGGTTATGGTGATGGCACCATTCTCTCCTAGTCCTACAGTCATCCTCCCACCCGATGATACAGTTGCAGTCAATCCAGATGGGAAAATGACTGTGATTTCTGGTTTGGGGGTTCCTGAAGCTTCACAGACCAAATAGAGACTTTCCCCCTCTACCACTGTGTAATTGTGAACACTTTCAAACCTCACTATTGTTGGCTCTTCACAGATAAGATCTTCAGGACTGATATCTTTGAGCTTTTGCCCATGGACGTTGCTGGGTTCTTCACACGTGATCTGGTTTTCAAATGAATGATTCCCAGTCATCTTTTGCCTGAAGGGAACCATTCTACAGTCACACTGCCAGGGGTTGTTGTTAATGTTAACTGTGTAGATTGATGATAGTTTAGCAAATATCTCTGCTTTTAGTACTGTAAAACTATTGTACTGCAGGTACAAGTTTCTCAGTTGTGATGTGGCATTGAAAGTTCCAGCCTGAATATCACTGATCTCATTACTGTGCAGGATAATTTCCTGCAAGTTTCCCAGCCCTGTGAACATGTCAGATCTGAGGGCTGTTAATTTGTTGTAATACATGTACAAGGTTGTCAGTTGTGATGTGGATTTAAAAGTTCCAGCATGAATATCACTGATCTCATTATTGTGCAGCCAAAGTTCCTGCAAGTTTCCCAGCCCTGTGAACATGTCAGATCTGAGGGTAGTTAACTTGTTCTGATGTAGCTGCAAGGTTCTCAGTTGTGGTGTTGAATTGAAAGTTCCAGCCTGAATATCACTGATCTCATTATATTGTAGGTAAAGGTGCTGCAAATTTCCCAGCCCTGTGAACATGTCAGCACTCAGGTTGGACAGGCGGTTCCTATGAAGATACAATTCTGTCAAAGCTGGCAAGTTATAGAATGCTCGAATATTGATTGTGGCAATATCATTTATATGTAGATCAAGCCTTGTCAAGCTCCCATACCGTGAGAAATCAGACTGACTTAATGTTGTGATTTGATTATTTTGCAAATTAAGGTTAGTGATGCCTGTTGGCAGGTTCTGAGGAACACTGGCGAGGCCCTGGCTGCGGCAATCAGCGTAAGAACCTGACAGTCTGCAGGAAGCTTCTGTTGATCCAAACACCTTCAGGATGATCAGAAGGGACAGCAGCTTCCCTGGTAGCTTTGCCCCCATGATGTTTTCTTCACCTGTGCTGTTTTGTACCCTGATATGGGAATAAGGGCAAATACTATATATTAATAATAGTGTATGATAGGGATTTTCTTACACAACTACTAGTAGTTATGTTACCTCATTTGCTTATAATATATATATATCGATGCCTTTCAGACTTCCTCAGAGCTTCTAACTGAAGTACTGCTTCTTGCTGGCCTGTATGATTATTTGTACACAAGGTACATGTGGGTGGTGCTTTTGCAGCAAGAACTCAATCCCAAACGTGGCTAAGTTTGTAAGTAAAACTATGTGAGAAACATTACCAGTCCGGTTGTGAAAGATGAAAATTGTGATACTGTCCTAAGTCACCTGTTAAGAAAATTTTTAGAAATCATGACTACCCCTTGTCTAATGGTACAGCCGACATACCAACCAACCACTGAAGTGGGAAACAATGTTAGTATTGAACTGGCCTGAAAAATAAATTAGAATGAAAACAGAATTTTTCCTACTCTGTATATTTTCAAATTATCGACCCATGAAAAAGGGTTTCCCCCATGATCATGATATGACAAAAAGAGCAACCACATTAGCTTGTTTATGGGAAAAACCCCCATAAACGCTGTACAGTGACTCACTAGTCTATGAGGAAGTAAATTTTTGGAAAATCAAAAAAAGCCATTCTTTCTGATACCATTCAACAACTTTTGTTTACAAGACTAATTAAAACCCAGTCTTTGACAACATATTTAAAAAATGAAAATAGATCTTTTTTTATTTCAGTTCTTGAAATTTCAAGGACAATTTGTGTTAACAGATTTCTATACAACATACATTTGCTTTAGTTTACAAGGATACGACAGGCCCATGTTGTCTACAGAAAAGAAAAACAACTTACCTGTGAAGTTTGTGCTCAATCTTTGGCTGTTCTTGCCATTAAGTCATGAAAGACTTTTTACTTCTACGTGCAACAACTGCAGCAGTGCCTAATGAGAAGAATGTGCTCAGGGTAACTGCTTTAAGTTGATATAAACTGCTACTAATAATCTTACTTGAATCTTGCTTTTCATTTATTGTCTAAGACTTATACTGAGAGCTGGTATCAATGTTTAGTATCCATATACCCCCTTGTTACTCCATGACCCAACGTCATACAGTCATTCTTACAGACAAGGAAATGAGCAGGAGAATAAAAATTTGGCATGTTTGTTTTTTCCTGAATATTTTCAGTCATCAGATGTAAATATTTGTCAACCAGTTGTGACTGAAAAGTGTTCATTGTTATGATAGAAATAGCGCCAACTTTCGCATAAATGCACAATAATTATCCCAAAAGAGGTTGCTGTTGCACAGTTAATCTGAATTATAAGCCTTCTTTTCAAGGACAAGAATCCCAAACATAAGACATAAGACTTACCCCAAGACAGTGTCCTAAAGAAATGTAAAACTTAACTTGATCTAACAGACTGTTTACTTGAAAGTGCACACCTGTTGAAAGACAGTCAAAACACCTGGTCGAAACAGTGGAGGAAGTCCCACCTGTGGCGGTGGTGCCTGGCAGGGGAAACCTAGGTAACTGCGCAGTTTGTTTTCCCTTGCAAATAAGTGGTGCATGACTGTTCTGTTTATATGAGACTCAGGTATGTAGGGAAGAGGTGAGAGTGACATATACATGTATGATCTTGACAGTTGGGGTAACAGCTTAAAGTGAAGATCACTCAGCATTAGAATTGGAAGACCCAGCATTAGAACTGGAAATAGAACACTTACATGTACAGTAGTTCATGTTTTGGTGTGTATTATTCAACACCTTGACCTTTATTGTCACAACCTATCTACCAATCCATTTGGATACCTCCTAAAGACCCCAAGTTATGGCCAGTTAAAAAGAAATCTGTGACCCCCCTAAATGTATGTGATATACCTAACACATAACCTTCTTGACAAAGGTTACCATTATGGTAATAATTCAATCATATAAATCATATAAAGCAAGAACTTTGCCGCCATAGGCTGAATTACTTGTTGTACATTGACATTCATTAACGATTAAATACTAGATATTTAACTACAATGATACCATAACAAACTATCAAGACAATCCTACTAGTACTACATGTGTTAGAAGCAACCTCAAGTTATCTTGTTTACAGACAACACACACCAATGTTACCAAAGATATAATCTTATATATATATATATATAATATATATATATATATATATAAGATTATATATATATAATGCAGTACAGTTCAAGGTTGTATGACATTGTACATTCGTTAAATGTATATTTAAAATGCCTTGTATTGTACAAGAAATCACAAAACTCTTTTGTAATGATAAATGCTGTTTAAAGTTCCACACCATAAAACAACAAACTACATATTTACTAGCAGTTGATCACCTTTTATTCTTTTTAATTCAAGTTCTATTATGCATGCATCATTAATTTTACATCACAGGTTTAAATATTGACAAGTAATTGTTACTGCTTACAAAGAAGTTTGACAAGTAATTGTTACTGCTTACAAAGAAGTTTGACAAGTAATTGTTACTGGTTATAAAGAAGTTAGGATTCATCATACAGGCTCTTGTTTTTCCTCAGTACCATCAGGCAATGGAATGAACTTGAGCCTGGTGTGGTGGAGGTGGGGTCAAGGTGCATCAAGGTCAAGTTCTCTTGCCCAGTTAAAAAGTGAAATGGCAAGAACCCTGGTGCATTGATAACCCCATGTCTTGTATACAAAATGTATATCAAGTAGTACTACCACTAACACACTAAATTCACTTGTCCTTTACACACACAAAACCATTTGGTAAAACCCACATATAATGGAGAAACTGGAAGAACAAGAAGCTTACATTGTCAAGTGACTTTTAATTAATACTATAATACATATGTACACAAAGAGGACATTTATTTTTAGAATGGTTGTTCTATATTTTCTGCTGACTTTTAGTGTGACTTGTGGATCCTGTTTCATGATTTTAAAAGTTTAGTCTTTAGAAATACTGATTACTAGTATGCTTTTTTCTTTAGTGATTGGTAGTAGTGTGGGGTGTAATGGGCACCAGTTGTCCCACCATTGTTCCTGTTACTGGGAGGGGGAAGTGAGGGAAGCTCATCACTAGGAGCTCTGTTTCTGTTGGGCTCAAGAGACTGATATTCATGAGGTTGCTGTATCAGACCTGCAGCGGTAAGACTTGTGTTAACGTTCCTCGGTGGAAGTACCACGTCTTCGTACTCAAGAACCTCAGAAGTAGCACGTCCCGGGACATGTTCTGAGCTTCTGGTCTGGACCCCTCCATTCCCTGTCTGATCATGCTCACTGATTGTAACCATAGCTGAGGCATTGCTGAAAACAACTGGAGGGGTTTGGTCTGAAGAAGGCTGCAGTTTCTTCCGTTTGCACCAGATTATGAAAATGATTGTACAAATGATTACAGTAGCTGCTACTGAGGTACACACAGTTGCAATGAAAACAGGTAGGGTTATGGAGAAACCAGGAACAGATTCATGGTAACTTGAACTGCTTTCTATTGTGTATGTAGTAAGATACGAAGTTACACTTTTATTTACTGGTGCCACTGTACCAGTTGTGGTCGCTTTCAGTTGCACATTGACAACCAGTATGGCAGGTGTTGAGCCAACAGGACTAACTGCCACACAGGCATACAGACCAGCATCTGCTGCAGTAACACTTGTTATGGTGATGGCACCATTCACTCCCACAGTCACCCTCCCACCTGAAGACTCTAAGGTTGCATTCAGTCCTGATGGGAGAATGACTGTGATGTCTGGAGTGGGGATTCCTGAAGCTTCACAGACCAGATAGAGACTTTCCCCCTCTACCACTGTGTAATTGTGAACCTTTTCAAACCTCACTATTGTTGGCTCTTCACAGATCAGATCTTCAGGACTGATATCTTTGAGCTTTTGCCCCCAGAAGTTGCTGGGTTCTTCACATGTGATTTGGTTCTCAAATGAATGAGATCCATTTATTTTTTGCCTGAAGGGAACCAACCTACAGTCACACTGCCAGGGGTTGTTGTCAATGTTTACTGTGTAGATTGATGATAGTTTTACAAAAATCTCTTCTTTTAGGATTGTAAGACTATTGTTATGCAGGTCCAAGTTACTCAGTTTTGATGTGGAATTAAAAGTTCCAGCCTGAATATCACTGATCTCATTATTGTATAAGGCAAGAGTCTGTAAGTTTCCCAGCCCTGTGAACATGTCAGATCTGAGGGTACTTAACTTGTTTTGATACAGGTACAAGTTAATGAGTTGTGTTGAATTGAAAGTTCCAGCCTGAATATCACTAATATCATTATTGTGTAAATTAAGAGTCTGCAAGTTTCCCAGCCCTGTGAACATGTCAGATTTGAGGTCTCTTAAATTGTTTTGACTTAGCCGCAAGGTTCTCAGCTGTGGAGTTGAACTGAATGTTCCAGTCTGAATATCACTGATCTCATTATTGTACAGGTAAAGGTACTGCAAGTTTCCCAGTCCTGTGAACATGTCAGATCTGAGGGTAGTTAAATTGTTGTAATGTAGGTACAAGTTTCTCAGTTGTGGAGTGGAATTAAAAGTTCCAGCCTGAATATCACTGATCTCATTATTGTATAAGTTAAGAGTCTGCAAGTTTCCCAGCCCTGTGAACATGTCAGATCTGAGGGTAGTTAACTTGTTCTGATGTAGCTGCAAGGTTCTCAATTTTGGTGTTGAATTGAAAGTTCCAGCCTGAATATCACTGATCTCATTATTGTATAAGAAAAGAGCCAGCAAGTTTCCCAGCCCTGTGAACATGTCAGATCTGAGGGTAGTTAACCTGTTTTGATGCAGGTACAAGTTTCTGAGTTGTGATGCTGAATGAAAAGTTCCTGCCTGAATATCACTGATCTCATTATTGTATAAGTAAAGAGCCTGCAAGTTTCCCAGCCCTGTGAACATGTCAGATCTGAGGGTAGCTAACTTGTTGTAATACAGGTACAAGTGTGTGAGTTGTGGAGTTGAACTGAAAGTTCCTGCCTGTATATCACTGATATCATTACTGGGCAGCTGAAGGTTTTGCAAGTTTCCCAGCCCTGTGAACATGTTAGATTTGAGGGTAGTTAACCTGTTGTGATACAGGTACAAGGTTCTCAGTTGTGATGTTGAATTAAAAGTTCCAGTCTGAATATCACTGATCTCATTACTGTATAAGTAAAGAGTCTGCAAGTTTCCCAGACCAGTGAACATGTCAGATCTGAGGTAAGTTAACTTGTTAGTATGTAGCTGCAAGGTTCTCAATTTTGGTGTTGAACTGAATGTTCCAGCCTGAATATCACTGATCTCATTAGTGTGCAGGTAAAGGTCCTGTAAATTTCCCAGCCCTCTGAACATGTCAGCACTCAAGTTGGACAGACGGTTCCCATAAAGATAGAAAAGTCTCAAATCTGACAAATTATAGAATGCTTGAGTACCAATTTTGGCTATGTCATTTTGACGTAGATCAAGCCTTGTCAAGTTTCCATACCGTGAGAAATCAGACTGACTTATTGTTGTAATCTGATTATATCGCAAGTCAAGGTTAGTGATGCCTGTTGGCAGGTTCTGAGGAACACTGGCGAGGTTCTGGCTCCGGCAATCAGCATAAGAACCTGCCAGGCTGCAGGAAGCTTCTGTTGATCCAAACACCTTCAGGATGATCAGAAGGGACAGCAGCTTCCCTGGCAGCCTTACCCCCATGCTGTTCTCTTCACCCATGCTGTTCTGTACCCTGGTACAGGAATAAGGACAAAGATAGGATATAGGGATTTCCTTCTAACACAATCAGTAATGTTACTGCTAATATTTCAATGCCTGTCAAACATCTTCCTCAGAGCTTCTGACAGGAGTACTGCTTTTTGCTGCAACATGTAGCCAAATTAAATGTAGGTCCTGTTTTAGTGGGGAGAACATATTCCCAAACGTGGCTAAGTTTTTAAGTAAGTGAGAAACGTTACCGGTTGTGTACATGTAAGAAGAAAATCCATATACAAACCTGATGAAATCATATTTGGAAGGGCAAAACTAGTTACAACATGGCATAACGGTGCACACACCAATTCTTCCGCGACAGGGGTCCAATGTAGTGCCCGGAAAAAAAGTGACGAAGGGGTTCCGGTGGTTCATGTTTGAGTTTACATTTCTCATAATCTGCTGCAAAATGGTACTAACTACTAACATGGCTGGAAAGTGTAAGAAGTGGCGTGTTTTGGGTGAAAATTGATTTCGGGCCAGAGACTAACTTCCGGGTGTCCTTTGGTTTGATGTAGATATGCGTTGTATGTATTCTGGGGGCGCTGTCGCTATGCCTCGCGCGACAGGCTATTGTGATAATCTCAGTGTTAGGATTTTCTTTATACTTTTCTTAATAATACATAAGGGTTTTCTCTTTCCGACCATATAAGTCATATTAGTGGCTAAATTCTGGGTGATGGGTCTAATTCCACGTGAAAATGGCAAATTTTTGGCATCATTTTTCATCGAAAAATTCTTTTTCCCCCTAAAATTTACAAAAATGTGAGAGGTGAAAGAAATTGAAATTCTATTGTTCTCGTAGCTAGAGCGATATCCTTCATTTGCAAACACAGTGTTTTGGCTCAAGAGGTATTTCCTGAAAGAGACAGTCGCTAGAGTTGAGGGTATGCAGAATCGAATTGAGACCCAAAATAAACTGGGGTGTGCCCCCATAAGAGCACACTTCTTAGACACAAAATTTTGACTGACAGTATTTGTCACAATTAGGAACTTCTATCGAAATTATTTTTTATTTATCAGTGAGTTAATGTAGTGTGTCCTCATTAATCATGTAAATGCAATCCTTGTTGGCATAATTCTTACTTTTCTTATACCTCTATATGTACATGTAGATCTGGTTGCTTAATTATGAAAAAATCCCATTTCCTACGTGATTATGGGAATAACATCCTCAATTCCACAAGAGGTACATGTACAACACAGCCTGTTTATGGGAAAAATACATACTTCTACAGTGACTCATTAGTCTATATAATATAGCTATGAGGAAGTAAATTTTTGGAAAATCCAAAAAAGTCATTCTGTCTGATACATTGTACCATGCAACAACTTTTGTTCAGAATAAAAATTAAAACCCAGGCCCTCCACCACATATTTCACAAACAAAATTATTTAATTGTTATTGCAATTTCAAATTTCAAGTTTTGACTGGAAAGTCTTCATTTTTGCGAATTGGTGTTAGCTTAGACTTCATCATCAAATTTATGAGAATATGAGAGACCCATGTTGTCTACAGAAAAAGACAACCAACTTACCTGTGAAGTTTACACTCAACAGAAAGTCTTTGGCCTTTCTTGCCAAGAAGTCACAAAGTTCTACCTGTAAGAACTACAGCTGTGCCTGTATAGTGGAAGAAGAATATGCTCAGGGTAAATGTAGCTGTTCTTTCATTGTATCTAACATACAGTTAACAGACATTGCTGATAACAATCTTACTTGCATCTTGTTTTTCATTATTGTCTTAATGATAGCTGCTATCTGAACATTTAATAGCTGCCTTTTCCCTTGGTGCTCATTGTCATACAGTAATTCTATCCAAGTCTTCCTGACAAGGAAATGAGCAGGGCAATAAAAGTTTGGCTTCATTTTCTTCTTTTTTTCCTGAATATTTTCAGTCATCAGATGTAATATTTGTCAACAACACGTTAGATAACCAGTTGTGACTAAAAAGTGTTAAATTTTAAGGCAGAAATATCACAATCTTTCATGTAAAATACACAATGTGTAACAATATAGTTCCAAAAAGGTTGTTCTTGCACAGTTTTTCTGGATAAGCTTTCTTTACAAGAAGTAGAATCCCAAACATATGGTGAAGGCGAAGACTTACCCCAAGACAGTGTCCTGAAGATTCGTAAACCTTGATCCAACAGACTGAAATGGGGACGTTTACTTGGAAGTGCACACCTGGTCTGAAGACATATAAAACATCCAACTTGAAGGAAGTCTCACCTGTGGCAGTGGTGTCTGGCACAGGAAACTGCGCAGTTTGTTTCGCCTTGCAAAAAAGATGCCATTCAAGGGCACATGCATGACTCTTCTGTTTACTTGGGTGAGACTCAAGTATAAAGGGAAGAGCTGAGAGTAATACCGTTGATCTTAACAGTTCAGGGGTAAGGTATATACATGTATATGTATGATGTACAATATATTGAGCTTATATTTTGCCAACCCAAACTCCATGGACCTAGCATGTCCAGATCATAAGATATCAAAACTTCAATCAATCAACCAATCAACCAATCAATCAATCAATCAATCAATCAATCAATCAATCAATCAATCAATCAATCAATCAATCAATCAAATTGTTTTATTAATGAAAAAACAAGAACATTGACATTCACTATCATTTACATATCATAAATATTAACTACAATACCATAACAAACTTGTAATCATTCAAGGCAATCCATAGAAGCAATCTCAAGTTATATCATGTTTACAGACCAACAACACACAAACACCAAAGATACAGAGTACATTTGTATAACCTTGTTGAAGGTAAAAATGCCTTCTGACATTACAGCTTAAGGTTATATGTACATTGGTTAAGTGTATATAGTTCAAGTACTAAAATACCTTAATTTGTACATTCAACAAATCACAGTCAAAACTCTTTCGTAATGATAAAAGCTATTTAACATACAACAAATCACAAAACTCTTGTGTAATAATGATTGCTATTCAAAGTTCCACACCATAAAATGACAAACTACATTCATTCCTTAAACTCATCTTTACTAACAGTTGATTATTTTCTTAAGTTCTATTGTGCATGCATCATTTACATAACAGGTTTGAATATTGGCAAGTAATTGTTACTTGTTACAAACAACCTTTCAACTTAACTTGGTATACATTATTTATACCACAGTCTGAATTACTGGTACATTGTTACTATAATTGAATAACAGCTTCTGCAGGCTCTTGTTCTTCCTCAGTACCATCAGGCAATGGAATGAGCTTGAGCCTGGTGTGATGGAGGTGGGGTCAAGGTGCATCAAGGTCAAGTTATTTTGCACAGTTAAAAACTGAAATGGCGAGAACCCTGCTGCATTGATCACCCCATGTCTTGTATATATTATACATGTACATGTGTATTTATAAATCATCTAAATACTGCTAACACACTAAAAAATCACTTGTGTTATCCTTTATACACACAAAACCAGTTACATGTATTTATATGTTCTCTTACATATTATCCTTTTCCTTCCCTGTTCCCTTTCCATGTAGTGATGTTCTGGATCACTATACATGTATTAGTGTTAGTAACACACATGCAGTCTGTTAATAAACCCATCAATGGGGCTCAGCAGTAAGGATTCAAGAAATTATATCTGTGGTAATCCATTTTGGCCGGTCTATAGTTCTGGTTTCTTATTATAATGGTTGTATGAGTTTTAAGTAACTATGTACACAATGAGGACATTCATTTTTTTAACAACTGTTCTTTGTTTTCTGCCAACTTCTAGTCTTGAGAGTCCTGTTTCATCTTTTTAAAAAATTTAGTCATGTGAAATGCTGATTATGAATTTTTCTTTAATAAATTAGTGGTTGGTAGTGTGGGATGTCATGGGCACCAGTTGGCCCACCATTGTTCCTGTTACTGGGAGGGGGAAGTGGGGGAAGCTCATCACTAGGAGCTCTGTTTCTGTTGGGTCCAAGTGACTGATAATCATGTTGCTGTTGAAGTGGGGGAAGCTCATGTCTGGGAGCTCTGTTTCTGTTGGGCACAAGGGACTGATATTCATGAGGTTGCTGTATCAGACCTGCAGCAGTAAGACTTGTGTTAACGTTCCTCGCTGGAAGTACCACGTCTTCATACTCAGAGGTAGCCCGTCCCGGGACATGTTCTGGGCTTCTAGTGGTCTCAAACGATTCACTCCTGGACTGAGCCCCACCCTGCCCTGTCTGGTCATGCTCACTGATTGGGACATTAGCTGAGGTATTACTGAAAACAACTGGAGGGGGTTGGTCTGAAGAAGGCTTCTGCTTCTTCCTCATGTGCCAGACAGCGAAAATGATGGCACCAAAAATTAGAACAATACCTAATACTGAGCCACATGCAGTGGCAATGAAAACAGGTACGGATATGGAGAAAGCAGGAGCAGATTGATGGTAACTTGAACTGCTTTCTGGTTTGAATGCACTAGTAAGAGAGGAAGTTACTGGTGCCACTGTACCAGTTGTGGTCGCTTTCAGTTGAACATTGACAACCAGTACGGCAAATGTTGAGCCAACAGGACTTACTGCAGTACAGAAGTACAGACCAGCATCTGCTGCAGTAACACTGGTTATGGTGATGGCACCATTCTCTCCCACAGTCACCCTCCCACCTGACTCGACATTTGCAGACAATCCAGATGGGAGAATGACTGTGATGTCTGGTGTGGGGATTCCTGAAGCTTCACAAACCAAATGGAGAGTCCCTCCTTCTACCTCTGTAAACTTGTAAACCCTTTCAAACCTCGCTATCGTCGGCACTTCACAGATCAGATCTTCAGGACTGATATCTTTGAGCTTTTGCCCACCAAATTTGCTAGGTTGTTCACATGTCGTATAGTTTTGAATGAATGAGATGATGAATGAATGAGACCCAGTCATCTTTTGCCTTAAGGGACCCATCCTACAGTCACACTGCCAGGGGTTGTTGCCAATATTTGCTGTGTACATGTAGATTGATGACAGTTTTGCAAAAATCTCTGCTTTTAGGACTGTAAGTCTATTGTGCTGCAGGTCCAAGGCTATCAGTTGTGGTGTGGAATTAAAAGTTCCAGCCTGAATGTCACTGATCTCATTATTGCCCAGCTGAAGGACCAGCAAATTTCCCAGCCCCGTGAACATGTCTGGTCTGAGGCTTGTCAATTTGTTATTATGTAGGAGCAAGCTTATCAGCTGGGGAGTTGAATGGAAAGTTCCAGCCTGAATACCACTGATCTCATTATTGTATAAGTTAAGAGTCTGTATGTTCCCTGCCCCTGTGAACATGTCAGATCTGAGGTCTCTTAAATTGTTTTGATTTAGCTGCAAGGTGTTAAGCTGTGGAGTTGAACTTAAAGTTCCTGCCTGTATATCTCTGATATCATTACTGGACAGCTGAAGGTTCTGCAAATTTCCCAGCCCTGTCAACATGTCAGCACTGAGGGTGGTTAACTTGTTATTTTGCAGGAACAAGGATGTCATTTTTGATGTGGAATTAAAAGTTCCGGTCTGAATGTCACTGATCTCATTGTTGTACAGCCAAAGTTCCTGCAAGTTTCCCAGCCCTGTGAACATGTCTGATCTGAGAGAAGTTAACCTGTTGTAAAACAGGTACAAGTATCTCAGTTGTGATATTGATTCAAAAGTTCCAGCCTGAATATCACTGATCTCATTATTGTATAAGTAAAGAGCCTGCAAGTTTCCCAGCCCTGTGAACATGTCAGATACCAGGGTAGCTAACTTGTTTTGATACAGGTACAAGTTTCTGAGTTGTGGAGTTGAACTGAAAGTTCCTGCTTGTATATCACTAATATCATTACTGGACAGCTGAAGGTTTTGCAAGTTTCCTAGCCCTGTCAACATGTCAGCACTTAGGGTTGTTAACTTGTTGTAATGTAGGTACAAGTTCCTTACTTGTGGTGTGGAATTAAAAGTTCCAGCCTGAATATCACTGATACCATTACTATGCAGCCAAAGGTGCTGCAAATTTCCCAGCCCTGTGAACATGTCAGATCTGAGGGTTGTTAATTTGTTAGTATGTAGGTACAAGGTTATCAGTTGTGGTGTTGAATTGAATGTTCCAGCCTGAATATCACTGATTTCATTACTGTGCAGCCAAAGGTGCTGCAAATTTCCCAGCCCTGTAAACATGTCAGCACTCAGGTTGGACAGGCGGTTTCCATAAAGATGCAAAACTCTCAAATCTGACAAGTTATAGAATGCTCGAGTACCGATTGTGGCAATATGATTGCTATGTAGAACAAGCCTTGTCAAGCTCCTGTACCATGAGAAATCAGAATGACTTATTGTTGTGATCTGATTATATCGCAAATCAAGGTTAGTGGTGCCTGTTGGCAGGTTCTGAGGAACACTAGTGAGGTCCTGGTTGCCACAGTTAGCAGTTAAAGAACCTGTGACTTGACCAAGGCTGCAGGAAGCTTCTGTTGATCCAAACACCTTCAGGATGATCAGAAGGGACAGCAGCAGCCCAGGCTTTTCCCCCATGCTCTTCTTCTCTTCACCCATTGAGTGCTGTGCCTTGATAAGGGAATCAAAGATAAGATATAGGGATTTTCCTCTTACACACCTGGTAATGTTTCTTCTTACAATGTATGTTTCAATGCCAGATATCTTAGTCAGAAGCTTCTTGTGTAGCCGATGTACATGTACTAGTAGGTGTTGCTTTTGCAGGGAGAACACAATCCCAAATTTGGCTATGTTTGAGTAAGCAGGTAAGAAACATTACTGGTTGTGTAAGCAGAAAATCCCTTTATAATATGTCCTACCCAGGCATGTGATGAAATTATTTTTGGAAGGGCAAAGATATTTCTAATTTGTACGAGAGCACACTTTTCAGGCACAAAATTTTGACTGGCAATAGCCTGGAATCTATCCATGAACTCTGTGTATCTGCTCTGCTCCTGCCTTCACTAGCCACTCTGTTCCTCTTATGAACAAAAGTTGTTGCATGGCAGAAAACATAGAACAGCCATTCAAAATGAATCATTGGCTTGTTTTATTTTCCAAAATTTCACTTCCTCATAGACTAGTGAGTCACTGTAGAAGTATGCATTTTCCCATAAACAAGCTGTGTGTAGCTCTTGGGGAGAACCCCTCTTTCCCCCATCGGTGGTTGGTCGGCATGTGGGCTGTACCATTAGTCATGATCAAGGGGTAGTATGGTCATGATTTCTACAAATTTTCTAAACATGTAACTTATAATCACAAATGTTTGATTTTAATCATGCAAATGAGCCCACATACCAAACAACCACCGAAGGTTGGGAAGAAGGGTTTTCCCCAAGAATTACAACACAGCTTTTTTATGGGAAAAATGCATACTTCCATAATCCACAGTGATTAATTAGTCTATGAGGAAGTAAGTTTTTGGAAAATCAAAAAAAAAAAGTCATTCTCTCGATCTGATACCGTGCAACAACTTGTGTTCACAAGAGAATTAAAACCCAGGCTTTGAGCATATTTAAAAAACATAACAGATCGTGGTTTTTGCAATTTCAAGGATAATTGGTGTTGACGTAGATTCTTACACATTCAACATACATTTTGCATTAAGTTAACATTAGGATACATGTATGAGAGACCAATGTTGTCTACAGAAAAGAAAAAGAACTTACCTGACTCTGAAGTTTAAGCTTGACAGAAAATGTTTGGCCTTTCTTGCCAAGAAGTCACTGAAGACTTTTTACTTCTACTTGTAGGAACTGCAGCTGTGCCTGTAGGGTAAGAGGCATGTATGTGTTCAGGGTAGCTGTTCATTTATTATATGTAACATATAGCTTTGAATTGGTATAAATTGCTAATGGCAATAACAATCTTACTGCATCTTGTTTTTCATTGTCTTAAATATTAACTACTTTACTGGTATACCTTTTAGTAGGCCTACCCCCTTGCTTCTCTTAATACAGTAATTCTATCCAGGTTTTCCTGACAAGGAAATGAGGAAGAGAATAAAGATTTGGCTTCATTTTGTTTTGTTTCTTATCCTGAATATTTTCAGTCAACAGATGTAATACTAGTATTAATTTTGCTACAAAGTTTGGACTGAAAAGTGTTCATTTTTACAGCAGAAATATCACAAACTTTTGCTTAAATACGCACTAGTGTGTAACAGTACGATCCCAAAAGAGGAACTGGTTGTTAACTTGCACAGTTTGTCTGCATGATAATGAAACTTTCTTTATATGAACACGATCGACAATAAGAATGGTACCTACCTACCCAAACATAAGACAAAGGTGATAACTTACCCCAAGACAGTGTCCTGAAGAAATTTAGAACTTGATCCAACAGACTGAATTGGAGACGTTTACTTAGAAGTGTGGAACTTACAGTTGAGGAACTAACACTGGTACCTAGCCTGGCACGGGACACCTATTACGTAACTGCACATATTGTTTCGCCTTCCAAAAAAGATGCCATTCATGGGCGCATGCATGACTGTTCTGTTCACATTGGTGAGACTCTGGTATGAAAGTCATTCCCATGATCTTGACAGTTGGGGTAACATCTGAAAGTGAAAGTCACTTGCATAGCGTGGAAAGAGGAAGTTTTGTGTGATCTATGGATGAGAACAAAAAGTTGGGTGAGACTCTGGTATGAAAGTCATTCCCATGAACTTGACAGTTGGGGTAACAGCTGAAAGTGAAAGTCACTTGCATAGCGTGGAAAGAGGAAGTTTTGTGTGGTCTATGATGTTTTCTATAAACCATTCTTTCCTTCCTTCATTCCTCCAGGACGTGAAATGCAGTGGGAACTGGATGTGGCCGGCTAAGCTGCCAGGGGAGGGAGCGGCACTGTTCCACGCCTGCAGGGCCATGTGTGATGTCATGCAGCAGCTGGGAGTGGCCGTGGACGGGGGGAAGGACTCCCTCAGCATGGCTGCTAAAGTGGGCCAGGAAACTGTCAAGTCACCAGGTGGGTTAGGAGGGCAACTTGTTTGTTAGAAATTATGGCCAGTTATGTTTATGTTTACCTTTGCAGAAGAAAAACTTTGCCTCCCTTTCCACTCCAAAAAATAAGGTAAATCAGACAGCTGTCACCATGGTGACTGGTGCTGTACCCTTGGTATTGACACCCTATGGTGTTGGATTACATTATGAAGCAAGTAGAGGGCTGGTCACCATGTAGATAAATTTGTCTTGAAGAATAAACAGAGAAGTAGATTATTAGGCTAGACCATGTGAAGGGGAACAATGTGTACCGGTACTTGCTTTGCAAATGTTACCTCTCCAGTCTTCTTCTTTAATGACAATCCCTTCCAGAATTATAACATGACAATACAATGTATGCCCTTTTCAACTGCAAGTCTGTGTTATTTACAGGCACCCTGGTCATCTCTGTCTATGCTGCCTGTCCTGACATCACTGCTACTGTCACCCCTGACCTCAAGTGTCCTGGGGGCAAAGGTAAGAGGTCAACTTGCAGTCTGTCATCAGCTAGCCTGATTAAATCGCTTTACGGTTGCCGGCAGAGTTTGCATTATACAGACTAGTCATCAGCCAACTGGTTCTGAAGTCTTTGTATAAGCTGATCCTATATTTAGGAGTCTAACACATGTAAACATTAGGCCTAGGGAAAAATGTTGACAATGTGTTTCCTGATGGACTCTAGCAAAAAAACCATCAACGCTAGCCTTTTTTTTGGTCAAGTGCTGGCAAGGCCATAAAACTTTCAATCTGAAGAATCCCTACCTACCGTAATTATTTTTAGGGATTGAAACCAGAAACACATTAATTTTCTCAATTAGGACATAGACTGGCACATGACAGATCAGTTTGCCTCAAATACAGTGGTTTCGACTATTGCAACTCCTATATGTATGTCTTTACCTGCCCTGTACCCCAGGTGCACTTCTGTATGTAGACCTGAGTGGAGGGAAGCACCGCCTGGGTGGCACGGCCCTGGCACAGTGCTACAGCCAGCTGGGAGACCAGTCACCCGACATGGACCAGCCACAACTCCTGGTGCAGGGATTCAACATCACACAGAAACTCATAGAAGGTTGGACAAGTCTTTTATTTTATTACACATGGGACTGTTTAAGACAACTGGGTTATGCAGGAATATAACTAGAAGGTATATCTATCAAATGTCTGTCAAATTAAATCTTGGACAGACAGTGTGCATGTATCTAATCTTTTTAATTTCTCATCCCTGAAGGTGTTTCTTCTTCCATTCCAACAAATGAGGTCAATGGCCTTGACCAGGAGGTGGTTACCATGGTAACTGATGCTGTAGCAGACTCCCAGTAGTTTTGGATTACATTATGTAGCAAGTGACAAGACAGAGTTGGATGGGCTGGTCACCATATGTGTATATGAATGTGATTAGAAGAAGAAACAGAGCAGTTATAACAATGTAGTTTGATGAGCTTGCCCATGTGAAGGTACTTGCCTTACAAATCTTACCTTAAGGTTTCTAGTTACTAGCTGTTTCCCCATGTTTCCTTCAGAGGGCCTGCTGACATCAGGCCATGATGTGAGTGATGGAGGTCTGGTCACCTGTCTCCTGGAGATGGCGTTCGCTGGGAACTACGGGCTGGATGTCAACATCACAGCAGACAACAAAGGTGGGGAAATGACTAAGTCTTTATGTATCTATAACTGCCATTGTTTGTTTATTTAGAATCTCCAATAGTAGTACAAAAATGTACATCATTTGCTAGCCAGCCTTCCTGGAGTCTATTTGTATTACTCCCAGACAAGTGTATAAAACACAAATACAATACTATTACAGTGAGCAGTGGACCATAGGTTGCAGACTCTAATCCACTGCTCACTGATTCATGTGTGTCATCTGCATGACGTGACGTCACAGAAGCAGTGTATTGCTCATTCATTGACCAAGACTGGAGTTATACAGTCAAAAATGTGATGTGCAAGTCCAGTTTCTTATTTTCAAAATTCAAACTTGCTCCTGTCCCCCTGCAGCCAGCCCAGTGTCTGTGTTGTTTGCTGAGGAGCTGGGGCTGGTGTTAGAGACGAGTGTGGAGCAGGCGGACGGGGTGGTGACCAGGTTCACACAGGCGGGCGTGTCCTGTCAGCGCATCGGACACTCCCTGGGGGAAGGCACAGATGCAGAGGTTTGTTTGTTTTGTTTCACATAACTGTTAAACCATGTTTAAGAGGAACACACCATTTTTTTTACAGTTAGTGTAAGCTGTTTAAATCCTGACTATAAGGTTTGAACCACTCACACTGGGAAGGACCCGAACTCTTTTCAATTAGGCGATGACATCTTAAATGTACAATTGTCATGTATGTGAGGTGTGGCTCTCCTTTAACACAGAACCTCTGCTTTACATCTTGTCTGAGAGGACATCCCTAACCAAAGCTAGGTCAAGTGAGGAAATAGGTGTTAAGTGTCTTTCCTAAGAGCGCAACACTGTAGCCTATATATAGCTATCAAAGATACAAGCCCAGGCTCTTCAACAACTGTAGCCACTTTGCCACCTAGTTATGTTTACCCTGTTTTTTTATGGGGATTTCAACCCATACTTATGATCAAGAAGACTGCATGTAGGTTTGCTAATGACTACTAGAGACCATGGCATGCTAATACACAAATCTTGGTATATTTTTCTTTCTGTTCAGGTAAAAATCTCGGTGAATGGCACGGAAGTGCTGAAGGACAAAATGGCCGCCCTCCGAGACGTCTGGGAAGAGACTAGCTTCCAGCTGGAGAGGCTGCAGACCAATCCCCAGTGTGTGGCTGAGGAGGAGGCTGGGCTCCGGGCTAGGAAGGCCCCGCCCTACAAGCTGACCTTTGACCCATCAGACACGCCCCAGCCACAGGTTTCCGTCAACGGGTCAGCCAACTCACAAGGTCGTCCAATCAGTGATTACATGAGACTTGGGATACTGGTGCAAGCTTTGGTGTTTAATTATGTTTTCTGAAATTTCCACAATTCTGGCTTGCACCAGATTTTTACTTAATTTTGAGATGATTACAAGTGTGCTAGCATGATGTACAACTGTACATGTAACATAGGCTTGATTTTGTGGATGACATCCTTTGGAGAGGTTAGATGTAATATATGGGAGTGAGGGAACCAAAAGATTGGAATCATCATGAAAACTGGATACCTAAATTTCATTTTTTTAAATTGGACAAAATCAGTGTCACTACTGATGGGTCTTTCCTCTTGCAATCAAAGGGAAGAAAATACAAATTAGAAGGAAAAACATTTTGATATCAGTTACTATGATCTGTGTGTCATCCAGAAAATCACATTTGTGTGGTCTTTTAACCATCTCCCTGCTGTCTAATAGAGAACTGGTAGCCAAACAGCTACTTCAGTGTGCATAAGGGTTAATCTGGTAGAGGACACTGCTTTAACAATTAACATAGTTCTCTATTCCCTCTTGTTTTCAGAGAGCCGACCGAAGGTTGCTGTGATCAGAGAAGAGGGCAGTAATGGGGACAGGGAGATGGTGTCTGCCTTCCACATGGCAGGCTTCCAGGTGTGGGACGTCAACATGCAGGACCTGTGTACCGGCAAGGTCACCTTGGAGAGTTTCCGGGGGGTCGTGTTCGTGGGAGGATTCAGCTATGCCGACGTCATGGGGTCTGCTAAAGGTAGGAATGGGATTATCAGTTTTTATGTCAACTTGTGCAGAAGGAAAACATATTTTTCCGTTTCTTCTTTTTCTGTAAACGTACTGTATTAAGGTCAGTGACCTGTACCAGATGTCTGTAACCATGGTAACTGGTGCTGTAGCAATGTGATGCTTTTCATACTTTACTCAAAGTGTTCTCAAAATCCAGTTAGCAACAGGTGTTCTCTAAGTACTGTCCAAGGATTGCATGTTGCTAAAATTGAAATTTTCTGGATAACAGTGTGGCGTCCGTGTGGTGTAGTGGATAGAGCGTCGGACTGTCAAGCGGGGAGACCCAGGTTCAATCCCCAGGGTTGGACCCAGACGTTGCGCCCTTGGGAAAGGCACTTAACACACATTTTCCCCCCTCAGGTAGAGGGATCCTGGGCCCTACTAGGGTTTGGGTTGGTGTTAGGAAGAGCATCCAGCCGTAAAAATCTTGCTTCAAAAAAAGACTTGTACTTGGTACAAGCACGTCTAACCCCCGGTTGAGGAAAAATGACGTTAAATTCGGTTAAAAAATTTAAAAAATAACGGTATTTCAATTCTGTTTGTTCCAGGCTGGGCGGCCACGCTACTGTTTAACCCGACGGTCCGTGCCCAGTTCAGCGCCTTCAGGGCTCGCAGCGACACCTTCAGCCTGGGCATCTGTAACGGCTGCCAGCTGATGGGGCTGCTGGGATGGGTGGCCCCGGACCATGGACAAGTCATAATGGATGGCTCAGGTATGCAGGGATCTCCAACATGTCGGCAGAACGTACTACCCCTGTGGGAAACCCAGATTTTTCATGGTTTTAGTAGGATGTTTGGTCTATTTTGAATGTAATATTTTTTCTGACACAACATTTGAAAACTACAGATGATATCATCCTTAAATATGCAAATGCTACCTTAAATGACACTGCCGAAGTACTATTAACAATAAATTTCTGGTTTTGCACGTACAGGCACAGTACGTTCTTCTGACATGCTGGGCTCTCCTAAAGAATGGACCACATTGAATTTGTAATTGACAGGGTTTTTTATTATTGTCAATATTTTCTCTTGTGACCATAGACCATTGTTTCCTGATTTTATGATCTCACAGATACCCCTGAATGAGGAAACGTTGTACAATTAGTTTTCCAACATTGACATTGAAAAAAAAAGTGTCCTCATGCAAGTTTTACTCTTAAACAGTATATTGTATACATTTTGTAAGTTGGATCAATAGAGACAGCCAAAGTCTGATAAAAAAAGGAAGGAAAAAAAGATTATCCCGACTTACCAACCCTAATGTTTTCAGGAACACAACATTTTTCCCTAGGCCTCACGATACCGCAACTTTAGTCACAAACATTGATTCTCAACTGTACTGTGTTTTGTTTTGATCAGGGGATCAGTCCAGCCCTCAGCAAGGCGTGTTCCTGGCTTACAACGTGTCGGAGCGTTTTGAGTCCCGCTTTGTCACCGTGGCGATCGAGGAGAGCCCCGCCCTGATGCTGAAGGGCATGGAGGGGTCGACTCTGGGTATCTGGGTAGCACATGGGGAAGGTAAGGCTGGTCTTATACTAGTACATGTATTTCTGTTGAAAGAAGTTAGACGAAACAAAAAGGTAAGGTTCAAAAGCCTACCATAACATGTTAAATACATATTTACACCTGTTTTATATCAGTTTATACAATATTCATGTAAATGACAATGAATGAAGTACCTGTATTGCATATTCATGCCCAAATGCAGTACTCTCGTTTACTACTACTAAGAAATACATGTAGGGATACTACTCTTACACCTGGGTCTGACCTTTGTTTGACCTTGACCTGGGTTAGTGCAAATCCTATGTTTCCCTCTATGTTGTGTTCTTATGATCCGTCATAAGTAGTGGTAAGATACTGATTCAGATGTGTCAAAAAGAGATTCCAACGTTCCAGTGTGTCTGCATTTGGAGTAACATTGTGTTGTTTACTGACTCTCTCTTGTTTACTGTAAAGATGGCACATTGTGATGTAGCCTTTGCTTGATTTATTGATTGATTGAATGATTGATGGATTGATTGAACGCAGGTCGGATGCTGTTCAAGAACGACGCCATTAGGTCAGAGGTCGAGCAGAACCACCTCACACCGCTACGCTACGTTGATGATGATGGAAAGCCTACCACGGCGTATCCCCTCAACCCCAACGGATCGCCCAATGGCCTGGCAGCGCTGTGTTCGCCCGACGGCCGCCATCTTGCCATGATGCCACACCCCGAGCGCTGCACGCTCACCTGGCAGTGGCCCTGGATGCCACAAGACTGGCACCAGTCAATCAAAACATCGCCATGGTTACGAATGTTCCAAAATGCCTATGTGTGGTGCATGGAAAATCAGTAAACACAGACAATTAGTGGACCAAAAGAGATCTCTTTTCTGTTACTTTCACTGGCTGACGGAGAAAAAACTATAAATACCAAATGTTGTTGAAAACCTTCCCACTATTTATCTTTTTGTACGTAAAAGATGTCTTATACAGCAAGTTGGCAGCACGTACTGCACAAAAAATGCACAAAACCTGGATTTTTCATGGTTTTTGTTAGATGTTAGGGTTAACTTTGCATCAGAATTTTGCCTGTTGCAGACCATCTTTTCTGATACAACAGATAGGATGTCATCCTTTAATACACAGATATGACCTAAAATGAGATGTTTTCCCTTAGTGCTATGCACAATACATTTCACGCAGGTGCAGTGCGTTCTGCCGATGTGCTGTCCTATACAGAAAAGCAGGCTACAAGTATGTGATGGGTAATTTGGGGGAGAAAAGTAAACATGGCTGACCGATTTACTTGTTGTAAATGTTGGTGATGATTTGGCTCAACTTTTTGGCACATAGAAAAGAAAAACAGGCCAATTCTGGTAGAACCAGTGGTCATGTCAAATTTGATGTTATCCAAAATGTTGGCTGTTGTGGAGCTGAAAGGTAGATCATGTCAGTATCTAGATGTGCCTGTGTGATTTTTGATAGTATAGTTTGTAGTAATGCTGCTACATTGCAATCCTGACATTATAGCTTGATTTTGTGGGAAATAGTAAGATTAGGCTGCCTATCACAATAAAGATATTTACACTGGTAAAAGGGCTTTCATGTTTTCGTGGTGTCTTTAATGATGTGAAAGAACTTCCCAATGCATGCATGTTACAAGGTTGTTTTTATTTTACCCCAAACATATCCTTCTTGCAAATGATAGTACTGTTATGCAGAAATTTTAAAGGATGCAAGAAGGTGCCATGTTTTTCCTGTTTTCTCATACCACACTTTTAGCCAACAAGCAATAGAAGGCAAGTCTACAGCACAAACATGACTGGTCTGGACATGTACTGTTTTTTGGGGGGCGGGGGAGGAGGGTATTTCTTATTATGTGAACTTATATTAATTTTCACACAAATTTTTTGATGCAATAAGTTCCCATGTTTTCAAGCAAAAAAATCATTTCTAGAATTTGGCAAGCCTATGCCAGACTGTCGGGTTTGTGGGGGGTGGGGTGGTATTTCTCATTGTGTAAACTTTTCCCACTAATTGTTGACTTTGACTTTGTAACGCAGACCTAGCTGCTTCCATGTGGAACCAGTTGTCCTGTTGTGCTGACGACAGATTGACATTCCACGTGTTTCTTATCTCTGAGAAAGGCGCTGGTATGTTTTCTTCTTACGATAACATCACATTTTAAAGCGTGGAAGGTCCTCACTCCAACCATTATGTCATTCAATGTCATTGATTGAAAGATCAGATTACAAACCGAGGTGACAGTATCGTGTTTCCTACTCCAAAACCAACAGTATTTAGACGTGTGACTGCAAGAAAAATTGAGAAGCTGGCTTACCTCAAGCCATCTAGTCTACAAAAATGTTGAGTCTACATAAATTATTTATCCATCTTAGCAACCTTGAGTGCTCATCCTCATAAAGAGTGAGAGAGGAGATTATTAATATTCATAAAGTCAAAATCCTGTTTATCCCACGACATCCACTTACTTTCATCCCTGTTTACATCGCTGGCCTTCCCACGGTGTTCAAAAATGTGATGTAGCTGTTCTTTTTGTTCATGACCAATTGTACCTGAGGAACCGTGTGCCTGTGGGGCCCAGGTATAGGGCTTGTATGGAAGGGGCCACGTGTACAGTACACTCGCACAAAGAAGCGCAAAACAAACCAAAAACAAAATGCAACCGTTGCTCAGTATGCTAGCAGGATTGCTGTGCACATGCCTGAAGGCACAAGAAAACCAGTGCTATCTGTGATTCCGTATGCTCCGAATTTCTGTGATGTAAGAGGAGAGGTTTTACCTTGAGCAGAGCCCAGTTTGACAAAACCAAACAGAGTCGTAGCCTGAAGCAAGGTCGTTACAAATCAGCAAAAAGGCACTGGAGGGTAAAAGTGTTATGTTTTATGTTAATTGCAAACCAGACCTGGCATGCCTCCTGTCTCTTCTACTTAGCTTTAGGGTTGCATGTTTGGCACAGACAACAGCATCATCTCCAGATGGGAGAACCAGCATTGACAGTGTTTTAAAAATAATAGGGATAGAGTGAAGCCATAGTGGCTGTTACTGACATTTCAAAGTCCTGATGTGCACAACAGTGGTTGTATACAGTAAGCCTGAGGAACAATTGCAAATATTTTGTGTTGAGAGATCCTGGTGGTGAAGTCACCCTATGACATCGACCTGTTGACGAGGCATAAATCAGTTACAGTAGATGTGTGTGTGACACCAGGTGGACACTACTGTACAGAGAGGAGACAGTGCTACACCACTGGGCCCGATAGCATCCTACCCTTGAAAACAAGCAGGGAAAGGCTGCAAAACTTTTTTGCATGTTTGCAACATTCCATGGATGTTCGTGCTAAGACTTATCAATCCATAGCTCCGTCTTGCGACAGGAAGTTTTGAAGAGTGATTTCGGTTTGTGGAGCTGGAGACAGGACAGTGCTGGAAGCACGTTGGCGCCGTGCCACATGAAGGTTCACAAGGCCAGGCCTAAATGAGGTAGGAAGCCGCTCTATGTAGTCTTGTCTCTTTCAAGTACAGATTAATTTAAAGCAGGGACAGACAACCTATAATGAGGCCAAATTTCCCACAAGTTCTTTCACCACTTTGTTGGCTGTAAGCCATGCTGACTGCTGGTAATTGCGGTACAGAAGTCCTTGGATCCTGCAATTTTCTACTCATTGCTCTCTTAGAGCTGTAAACATTTTACTTCACAGTAAGTGTGTGATTCGTGTGCAACTCTCAGCCTTGGTTCTAAGCTCTAGGCTACATTGATTGTGCATCTCTTTTGACCTTTCAATTATTTTTGGAGTGGCTGGTCTAACTAGAATGTTCGCTTTCTTTTGACCTCCAGGGGACATAGGAGCAACCGTTCAATCCATCCGACCATGATGTTTGCGACTCAAGTGTTTGTTTTCCTGGTGGTTTCTGGTCTTTTTGTGAGGATCAGAGGCCAGACGACTGAGCAGGTGGGTATAGAATATCTTGTTTCAAGGTCAAGTTGAGTTTCCTTGACATTGTAGGCATCACTGGTGTGGTTACAAGCCATTTTCCTGTCCTAGTGTGTGGTATTGCACAGGGACACTAGTGACATTTACCCTGACATGTATGTTTTTATCCTACTTTGCCTATAAACCTCCTTAAAACAGAGGTTTAGGCTTCAGCTTTTTATGTCTTTTATCCCCAATATGTATTTTTTTGTCTGGCTTTCTTTTTTGTGTTGGTATCTTTTTTGCCAGTCAAATGGTGGCGCATTGGATACTGCCCCTGCCAATTTGATACTGTCTTGCCAAGTTAATACTGTTTTGCAACCAGAGATCCATTTTGAAGATCATATAAACCATCCAAAGTATATATAGCAAAGATAGCTCCTTGGGTCAGTAGCTATATAGAAAGATCCAGGATTTTCTCTTTATACATGTATTTGTGTTCCCACACTGTTATCTAACACTGGTAGACTTAATTGAGCACTGAACAAAAACTTGTGACGTGCAGAGATAATTGGCATATTAGCGGATTGATTTGACAGGCACTCTTAAGGCTTCATTTTGTTCAAGCTTCTACAAGTTCTTGTTTGTTTAATCCCTCCCCAGAAATTTGTATCTTTCTGTCAAGGTGAAATGTAATTTGTACTGGTCAGGCTTGAATAGGGGAGCAAAATTTGAAGTTCTTCTTTTAGTCCCCAGTACTTTCTGTAGACTGTATCTTTCTGTCAATGTGAAGCATAGTTTGTAACGTTGAAGTTAGAATAGTGCCAGAGCAAATTTTGAGGTCCCTATGAGGTAACCTGGGTTGACATAGGTGTGCTTTGTTGCTTCAACAAACTAGCATACATGTAGTTTGTAATGTTGAGGCTAGAATAGTGCCAGGGCAAATTTTGAGGTCCTTGATATGACTTGCCAATTTGATAGTCTTGCAACCACCTAATTTGGTTGGAGATTATAGAAACCATCCAAAGTATAGCAAAGATTGCTCCCCTGGTCAGTAGCTACGGTATATCCATAGATACAGGATATAGAAAGATACAAAGTTCTAGAGATTAAACAAACAAGAACTTGTTAGAAGCTTGAACAAAATGAAGCCGTGACAGTGCCTGTCATTTCAATTCACTAATATGTCGCTTTGTTGTACTTGATAAAGGTTCCCACGCTGTTATATAACACCTGTAGAATTAATTGAGCACCGAACAAAAACTTGTGACGTGCAATGAAATAATTGGTATATATTCTACTGGTGTTATATAACAGCGTGGGAACCTTTATCAAGTACAACAAAGCGATTTTAGCGAATTGAAATGACAGGCACTGTCACGGCTTCATTTTGTTCAAGCTTCTACAAGTTCTTGTTTGTTTAATCTCCAGAACTTTGTATCTTTCTGTCAAGGTGAAATGTAATTTGTACTGTTCAGGCTTGAATAGGGGAGCAAATTTTGATTTAATGGACACTCTTGGTCTTGATTTTGCTCAAGATTTTAACAAGTTCTTCTTTTAGTCCCCAGCACTTTGTATCTTTCTGTCAATGTGAAGCATAGTTTGTAACGTTGCGGCTAGAATAGGGCCAGAGCAAAGTTTGAGGTCCTATAAGGAATCTGAGCCAAAATCGATTATGTAACTCCAGGATTTGGCTATCCTTTGCCAAGACTTATTTCTGAAGGTTCAATACATGTCTCATTTCTTAGCTTGTGTTACACAATCCCTCACTGTCAGTGGAAGGGCTGTTAGAAGTGTGATGTAGCCAGGCATGGCCACACAAATCTACCCTCTACCAGGCTTCAGAAGCGACTGGAAAGAGTAAACATTAGCCAGACAGATATGCTCGTTTAGTGGACCAACTCTACTGGTATGTTATCTGTCTATTTCACCAATTTCTACTCTTTGCAGCTGATTCTGAAGCCTGGTAGAGGCTAACACAAATCTTGTATCTCTTGTTCTTCACCTGAAAGTTTGAGACAAAACACCTAGTATGAAATGGACCCTGACGTTGTACAAGTTTTGCAAAAACCTTCTATGTTATGGGTACATAGCTGTCTTACTCCATAATTATGATACCGATTGTAATGCTCTGGTACTTTTTATAATTCAAGCATATTATTCCTACTTTGGTTGTCAGAATGATGAATTTGTAAAGCGATAAAATCGCATTAAAAAACTATACATTTGGATGGCCGATGACTTATCTGTGTTCACAACATGGGCTAAATGGAAAAGAGCCAAGCCAAACCCTGGGTACAGCAATCTCTCTTTTTAATATGTAGACATTTCGTAACCTTTCATTTCCTAAAATCCATTTGTAGAACACAATGCACCATTCAAAGGTATCAAACATTCATGAGATAATGTACGATGTATGTGGGCGTAGGTAGCCTACATGCGCCTCTACTCTACAAGCAGAGGTTTAAAATGTGTCTCATTTTTGACGTGTTTCCAGCATTTTTATCAGGCTTTCTTTTTGTACTGGCAAAAAAAGCCTGATAAAAATGCCTGAAACACACCGAAAACAAGCCAAAGCCTATACCTTGAGAGTAAGGTCCCTAACACAAGCTGTTCTTGGCAAGTTATTCTGCCTATTTCAGGATTACACAACAAAATCAAACTTGTGTATCAAGATACTTCATCAACTGACAGAATCATGGAGTTTTAACATTGATAATATGTAACAAATGGCAACTCCCTTATTCCTAACTCTGGTTGTTTTAGATCTAACCTTACTTTAACCTTCTTCCTGCTGCCTAACTCCATAACCAATACAAATCTTGGGCACCAGGTTACCTCACTAGGGAGAAGGTTAAGTAAATATAGGGGAATTCACTTTTGCCAAACCTGTAATTCAGATATGCACGCATCATTGCACAATAGACAAACTGGTCTGTACATACTGCTCTGTAAGCCTTTTGCCACACCTACATGTATATGATAGATCATATGCTCTGCATTTATACAATGACTGAATGGCTCTTTTTGTGCATCATACAATATTGATGTTTTCTCCTTGCTTAGGTCAAATACAAACTGTGTGTATGTGCATTAAGTGGAAACTTGTGCTGATGACTAAGCAAGAAAATGCCTCACAATTAAACTTATCATTAAAATCATGCTTTTGTCTTTACATATCAGACGAAATGTGAGTCTGAACGTTTCAAGGCTTCCATAGCAACAGAATTTCAAGGGACTTTTGACAGTGCATATGGCACAACCATGCACTATACTGCAACAATTTATATACATATATACAGTATAATAGCTTCTTACATTTAGTGTATAAAAGCCATGTAAACTACAAATGCTGCATGGTATCATTGCTCATAAACAGACATGGAAGTTGATGATAATAATATGGATGGTTTCTTCCATATTATATTTCTTTCAAACTACTCTTTTCAAAGTAGCAAGGCTGTATTTCTATAAAAATGTATTCTGATAGTACTGAACTACAGTCATACTGTCTGATACAGGTGTGTGGAAATTGGGTTGATAACAGCAATAGGCAAACAGTTTGCAGGTTGCAGTTCTTGCTGATTGGCTATTGACATGATTGGATCACACACCTGGTACCAGCTAATACTTTATTATAAGTATCATTCCAAGTCTTCATCAAGTTCATGTACTGGTATTTATAGCTATCAGCTTGCAGCTAATGTCTTCACTATCTTTGTACATCACATTACAAGGGCAAGACTACAATCACACTGTGTAGAAATCACTTCAAGTGTACATAAAACCATTTTCAAATTTAACTTAAACTAATAGTACTCTAGTATTGGTCTTGAAGACATTACTACATGACAATCCAATACTAATAGATTAATTCTGTACAAATAGAAACTTGCCCTTACCCTGTACATTAGAATCACAACAAACCTGTATGATGTTATTGATATGATTACATGCCAACACGAACATTTTTGTACTAGCATTGAGCACAATCTTCTCCATAAAATCTCAGCATAGGCGTAAAAGTGTAAGTTGGAGATTAACATGGGTTACAATATGTGCTACAAAGTATTATACAATATATTAAGACAAGCTACTTCCTAAATATTGCTAATTCTTTTGAAGACTGTGCCGTACTACCAGCCTGAGTCCCAGGCGGGGCGAACTCTGCTCGAGGATTTGGGTCTGGGTTTGGTTGTGTGTAGCGGAGACCCCATGTCTGCGCCTGAGCTGGTTGTGGGCCCAGTTCTTAGTCTACTAGCTCCGGCAGACAGGGGCCTCCTGGCCCGTACTGGTGTCGGCGTCTTGCTCTTGGAGATGTTACCGAAGTACCTTCGCTGCTGGTCAAAGTTCCCGAGAAGCTCATGGCGCGACATGCCCGGGGTGGGTCTGGCGGTCTCTAGCCTCCGCAACATAGCCAGGTTTTCCCTCTCAATCCTCTGCTGGTCGCGCATACGGTTCAGCGCGGTGTGGTAAATCCTCGCTGAACTGTTCCCGTCCCTCCTTCCTCCGCGAGAACGGGTGGAGGAAACGCTGGACGTAGACGCCCGGCTCATGCGACTCGACGTGCTGCTCGCACTCATGGGACGCTTCTGCTTCTTCTTGATTATCTCGTTGAGAAGGCGATGGTTTTCCAGCTCGATCCTCCTGACTTCGTCGTTACTGAACGTCATGTTCCTACGCTGGCCTGCTGTAGTTGGCGTGCCAGATGCTGATCTTGGCCTTCTCTCCATATCAAGCACTGCCGCAAGCAATCTGTTAAGTTCCATTGTGTCCGAGTCATCGGTGAGAAGTAATGGGTCTTCTGTACCCTCACCAACATGGTTGTCATCTCCTTCTTTGAAGCGTACATCTTTGTGCATGGGCCTCTCCTGGCCCTGCCGGTCTACACCTATTGTCTTCACCTGCCTTTTGCCGGTAACACCTGGATTTCTCCTGTGTCTGTGGTTGTCACGAGAGGCACCGGAGGTGGTCTGGTGGTGGTGGTGACGCACTTGGGCTTGACTTTCCGCGGTTGCTACGCCCTTCTGGGATTTTCTGCGTAACTCCGGGCTGAGGTTGGGGGAGGAAAGCGGGGACACGTCGGTGACACTGTCCGAGCTTCGCGAGCTAGATCGTGACCTAGATCGCGAAGTGGACGGCTTCCTCCCCCTAGAACTACTGCGAGAGCTCGACCTACTTCTCGGGGATTCTACGGGAGAGTCCGAATCGGGAGAAATCTCTCGGCTAGGTTTGGTGTGCTTGCTCGCGGCGCTGCCCATAGTTTTGTTGCTGCTGGGCTGTTTACCGTGGCTAGGCGTTGTCGTTCTGCTTCTACGTTGTTCCCCAGCACCGGTGTCGCTCTCGCTGCCGCCGCCCTCCCCCTCCGACTCAAACTCATCCGAGCTGTAGCTCCCCGACGATCGCGGGGAGCCCGTGGGGATCTTAGCGGTGATTTTGACGCTGCTCCCGCTCCTTACACTGTTCTGGTCGCCTGGTACATTCCTACCTCTGCCATCCTCCCGATCCGCAGTTTTCTGTGGCGTCGAAGCATCTCTGGGCACAGGGGAAACGGAACGATGCGACGTGCTATTCACTTCAAAGAAATCGAAGTCCACATCACCACTCAGATCATCTTCTTCCATGGTGATATTTGTCAAACAGGATTAAAATCCACTCCTAGAATGACTGAATGGCGTGATAAAGATAATGAGGTGTCACTCTGTGGTCCAAAAGCGCGATGCTCACGTCCAGTTTGAATCAGATCAAAAATGGCAGGTCAGCCCGCCGCCGCACGAACGAACGTCTGTTTAGACGCGTAACCTGGCCAAACGTGACGTCACGATCCCTTGTGACCTCACCGGTGCCAAACAATGCATTGGACGGAACCACTTTTCTACGGGGCCGTATTGGATGCAAAGTGTAATTTACGTACCGAAACGGCCCCCAAATCTATGTACTTGTAAAGGATAGTAACTTACATTATAAGAAATTTGTATAGGTTATTGTATTATTAGCTTATTACATGGTGAATGATTGTTATTTTGTTATGTTCCACTCTTCATAACCCAACCCAACATTCAAGTGGAATAGTCTGTTGGCCTCGTTTCCGTTTTCACTGCGTATAATATTTTGGCGACGCCTACAGAGCGGAGACTTTGTTACTTGAAATGGTAGTCAAAGGTTGCTTTTCTGGCGCGAGAGAGCGAAGATTACAAATATCTGCAAGTAAAAACGAATGAGCGGCAGTGAGGAAATATTTCCTCTAGCTGTATCACTAGCTTCCCTTATAAGAGGTTCTTATTCTAGTTAGAGGAGCAGTTTGAAACTGTGCAACCCAATTTTCTATTGTTCAGTCAACGACCAGGGGGGGAAATGATACTATCCCATCATCCTTTGCAATACACATCCCACAACACGTGTCCCAGATGGCTGACTGTCAGCACCAGGCATATAGTCCTGTCATGTTTCCTTAAAAGTGCAGCAATGGCAACATTTTGACCAGTAATTTTTGGTTCTTTGAATTATCAAAGGACTCAAGTAGTGTATCAGGCTATCTGACTTTTGTAACTTATGTACAACTTCTTACATTGTGTCTTAAACATTTATGCAAACATTTGCTTCAAAAATGGTGCTCAAACTTCACCAAACTAAAGTGCTTTTCTACAAACTCTGTTGATTGGTGATATTATACATCTTGTGCATCAGAAAACCCCAAATGCACCAAAAAGCACCCATGGGAAACGGAAGAAAATATTATATTTGATATTATTTATGTAATAATCATCAACAAATGCAATTTTCTTCCGTTTCCCATGCAGCAGCTTGGTGTTGGCAGGAGGAAAGGAGCGATGCAGAGTTGGAAGAAACAATAGCATTA